TCTCCGTCTCATACCTTGCTGCATTTGTTGCTCGAAGGAGTGGTTTTTCACGTGACGTAACACTAGTAATTTCATGTACGCAATTAGAATGTTGTGATACTTTGAAGGCTCGCGCGTTTCCCCGGACATCTGTGTAAATCGAACACCGACCTCAAAAAATCACGTGGCTGAAAATCCTCCATGAGTACCGAACATCAACCTCTTTTCTATGGATACGATCTCGCCGCGCCAAGTTGGCTCCTACCATGCCTTGCGCGATCTAACTCCTGGTATTGTACAATAGAGTACCGAAGTGAATACGTCACGCGCACAATTAGTGTGTAAAAGGTATTAGTGCGTGAACTAGCGCGTGAACCAACACGCGCGCGTACTCCATTCGTTTGCACTGCACTTTCTGGTTCACAGTGACGTCACACATCGGTATTCTATTTAAATATCCCATTATTTAGGATATATATGTTTAGGCGCGACAGAACAGATTTACGCGTGCGTGACGTGCAGGAGAATACGTGCAACTTTTGAAATAAGCGCGCGATTGACTTCACGTTTAAGTATATTCATCCTGCACAGCCAATCAGCGTCGTTTTTGTATTCTACACGACCAGGGGCTAGCGTGAAGTAACGTCCAAGCAGCCCATGGAGTCGATGTTGACCGAACATTGATTTCCATTGTCTTTATCCGCCCCGAGCTGAAGTGCACCCCAATCGGCGAAAGAAAGTCAGGTGGTTACAAACGGATTCTTGCACGCGTTCTGCGTGCACGGAAAGACCATCCATCACAAAGGCGGACTCGCCACGATTTTCAGGCTCTCATTGGACAATCAGTGAAGTTTCACGTTAACTTCTGGTTCCATGGTTCCCTGTAAACGGCGATTAATGCATGTATCCCCATGTATCTCCGCGTCAAACGCGCATTTACATGAGGCGCGCCTATGCGGCGAGTACCAAAAACACGCCCTCTTTTGTTCCGCTCGTAGCAGATGATGGAGATCAATGGCACACGAACAATTTTGTACTCCATCGTTTGCATAACTGCTTCAAACTGACGTCACACTTCGGTACTCTGTATTCCTGTGTAAGGAAGGGAGTAGAACCCGTGTCGACTTATAACTTCACGATGAGGAAAGGGTGTGGATCTATGGCAAGGTGCATTTTTTGTGGATTATGCAATGCAGTCTGAGGTAAGGTGCCGGCGTGGAGCTCTTCCAACGTAAACAAAACAATATTAGAGGGCCTGGCTTGAGGTCGTTGATTTATATAACTTGCACGCGCAGCACGGTTTAAAAGTACGAAGCAATAGACCAAAAGGCAGAAATCCCTGCATATACACTCTGGAATGACAGTATGTGGTTCTATACCCAGCAAAAAANTTCCGATCTTTGTTACTTAACACATCCCCCCCCCCAAGATGTCTGAAAGGAATTCCCCAGATTCCTGCGAGACAATGACCAACACAAAGCAGGGGGTGTTCTCTCCGTCTCATACCTTGATGCATATGTGTGGTTCAGTGGCTGGGCCTGGGGAGGATTCCCATCATGACCGCTATAGGAACAACTTACAAACAAGTTTGTAATCGACTTAGCACCTGCACAAAACTGAGGGAGGGAAGAAAGAAGACAATGTGGAAAACAGTGGTCTGGGCTGGTTTCACTCACATCCGTTATGGTTCAGCAATCTATTTATTCATAACCGTCTATTCACAAAGTTCATGCCTGAATTGCAACATTTATCCTCGGGCAATTTATGAGAGCCTGGGATATAACAGTGTGAGTAACACGTTGTGTGGGTGTTGCATAGGCTGCCATGTTGGTGAGGAAAATAAGAATGGATATAAGCAGAAAAATTGAATAATTTCGTTTACGTGCAGTGTAAGCTACAATAAGGCTTACAGAAGCAGCTTTCCAACAGCTTCGAATGGCATTTTTGATACAAGCGTAGGATACCAGTTTTCTGTACCGAAACATTTGCTTTGGGGAGGCATGACATGAAAATTAAATTTTTTATCAATAATTATTCTGCCCCGCAGCTTTTGCAAGCTGACTATATTTCACGGCGCCGTCGTCTTGTTGCCGTGGGACTTTCCAATCCCCCACACCCATATAGCCCGCTTCCCCCCATGCAACCCAACACCCTATCACGACAATCCCCATTAGGTTACCTTATAAAACATCACTTATTTACACTGAATGCTCAAATTGTAATTTGACGGACAACCCCCCCCCCCTTTTTGGCTGCGCGGTGGTGGTGGAGCAACTATGATGACCACACAAACACTATGGCCGTGTAGGAACGGGCCTAGGTTGCCGTTCACACGGTAGTCCCAAACAATCGAGCCGACCGCAGAGCCGTGATTGGCCGACCGCGAACGCGAGTCCAACTTTCCCACGGTGCAACACAACGCGTGCTGGTCACACGCTAGCAATGTCTCGCGGTTTCTATTCACCCCAGAAGACTAACACACCCTTTGACATTAAGCATTACTGCCAAGTTGGTTTTTTATCTCTACGTAAACGAACAAATCTTTGACTTCAGTACATGCAATGAGGATTTTGTAAGTCGGATTTGTTTTGCCCGTTAACAGTATTCTTGGATTGTCCTTTTGAGTATTCCTTTGAAAACAGTTCTCTCGGTACTTGACAAAGTTAAATAAAAAGAAAGATGAAATTACTCCATGCGGCTCACAGAATTTTTGCAGATACATGGAAAACTATTTACATATAAACGGTAAACAAAACTGAAGCAAGTGCTTTTTATTTTGGAGGCCACCATTTAAATTGGTACGCCTTACAAAAGAGGAGCGTGGGGGAAAAGAAACCGCCAGGGGAATGACCGATGACGGCCTGGTGGCATTAGCCAATGGCGTGTGCCGTCTTAAGGGGTGACGGTGACCGTGCGAGTGCCGCACGGTTGTCAATCAACAGACAATTGGTCCCGCTGGGTGTTGTGTAAAATGTAGGGTTTTCTTCCCCCTCTTTCTTTTTTTACCTCACAGGGGCGACCCTTTGCCAGTCGCATGGACTTTTTGAACAGGAGCGTGGGAACAGAGCTCCTCATTCGTGACTTACGGCCGTTGCCGAGAGGACGTGTTTTTGTTGGCCTAGTCCGCTGCTCGCGCCAGTTCCTTCCTTAACCAGTGTCAACGCCTTCCATCTGTTGCTTGCTTGGACTTCACAGCCACAAAGAATCAACAAGTTCCTCAGTGCTCTCAGCATCTTCTTCCAAGTTAATCTACTTTGTTAATTTTTTAAAGGGGAAAAACCAGCGAGGCATTATGAAGAGGACACTGAGCGATTCTGATACGGACGAGATTTTCGACGACTCAATCAAAGGGTGAGTCTTTACTTTATTTACGTTCTCCAAAATGCAAAAATACTGACCTTTGATGAAAAGGGGAACTTTATCATCTAATCTCTTGAGGAATTGTTCCAGATGTGTGTTGAAAAATTTTCACTGATGGTTTCAATGATATTTTCAGTGAGTTACTATGACAGTTGATGGTAACTGCCAAACCAAAATCAATGCTTCCAAAATAATGATTTTTTTCCTGTTTAAAATTCCTCCCTGTCAAAAGAGATAATAATTGTTTAAATCTTACGTAAGTAGTTTACATAATTCATGTATTTGTTTGTAACTTCATTCACTCTTACTCGATGTAAATGTGGCATACGTAACCACTGGTAGATGAAATTGCCTGATGAGATTAATCTTGGAGCGGGATCAGGTGGTCTCGATCACGTGACAGCTTGGAGAGCGATACTTCGCAATTCTTGAGCTAAATTGCTAAATTGGCCCGCCCACTGACTGCATCTCATCTCGACTGTTCACTGATTTGAAAAAGTTTTAATAAATGTAGTAAGAATCCCAATTTTTTTTTAACCTATTTAGATCACCAAGTCAGTCATGCCCGGTGACTGCCCGCAAGAAGCGAAGAGGGGTGAGTGTTGTGACACTTTTTTTCGATTGTTTCTGTCGCCAATTATCGCCAAATCCAGTCTGTTACTTAGTATATATAATTAGTGATCACATTATGATGTGTGTGACCAGCTGTGAATAACTTTGACTTCAACAACCTTGTTTACTGTTGATTTTGTTTATGCAAACGTTCCCCCGAACCTTTATATTTGGAAATAGGCCTAAAGGTATTCATTTCAGTTATAATCTGGAGTCGAAAAGTGCGTTGGCACCTAGGATTTATGTATTTTGGAAGCTTCCAAGCCAGATTTGGGCTTTAATATCTTTCAACCGTCTGAACTTTCAAAATTCGTTCCTGATTGTTCTGTTAAACCTGAAAATATATGTGCTGGTGTTGCGTAACAATTGAAATTTAGACTCTATGAAGAATGAATTTATTGCCCTTTTAATGTCCATGGCTTGACTGACTTTAACACCAGATAATGAACACGTACATACGCACCTGAGGCACCCCCATTGGGGTTATAAGAGGCACTGTATTTGACAAGGTCCGAATTTCAAATGAAAGTTTTAAAAAGGGAGAGCAACCTTAACCGATACGCTGATAACTATGGCAGACCTGCCAACCTTGCCATACCCCTTCCTAAGGTCAGGTATTACCACACAATTGATTAAAAGGTATTTGAATGAGCCCTCACTTCAGTTAAATTTTTGTGAGGTAATGCCTGACCTCAGGAAGGAGAGTTTCATGTTTTCAGGTCTGCTATGGTCACGGCTTTCTCAATCGGGCGGCCCATTTCAGAAAAGTGCCATAAGGGAATCATTAGCCTCTGTACATTCTGCAATCGACGTCACATGGAGTCTCAAGAACGACATGTATATTACTTGGTTTCAGTTTCAATGGCCTTACTGCTTAGATCAGCCAAAATCCTTAGTGCTGGGCATATGTACGCTGCTTGGCATATCCATGAAGTTGATTTCTTCTTGGTGCTCTTGTGAAATCTTATTGCCCTGCAGTGGCATATTCAGCGGGGGACGGGGTGGCGGGAAAACTTTGCGGGGGGCCGGGGGTGTCATTTCTAAAAAGAAAGTGAAAGTTCCAACACTTAAGAACGGTAATAGCAGCTCTCGAGGAAGTTAAAAACAATCAGAAAAAAATTCCCATTTGCCCCCCCCCACCACCACCCACACCACCACTGAGGAGGTCTGTTTACAATCAGAACCTGACACGCCCACGCTGCGGTTGGGTTAGCATTTAAAGTTTACTGAATAGCAGCAGAACTTTAACGACCCACTCAGCCACTCCTGTAACTCTGTAATATACAACTCCCGTATAATCTTAACGCAGATGGAAGCCTTGGCTCTCACAAGCAATTAGGTTTTACCGCAATCCATCCATAATCAGATATTTCTTCAGACATAAGAACAAAGTTTGACTGTGATTTCGTATTGTTTTCTGCTAAGATCATTGAGAAGCGTCGGCGGGATCGTATCAACAATAGTCTCACCGAGCTGCGACGCCTCGTACCCGCAGCTTATGAGAAACAGGTAATTTGACTTTCATTTGGAATAATAGCCATTAGTTTCTCAATATTAATCTACTTTGTGGAAAACCAGCCCAACCTGAAAATGGATTCGCCATGCGTGTTAGATGAATACTTTTTTGCTAGCTGTCCGAGCTGTTAATAGTTTGCGTTAATTGTGCTGGACTGTCGTAGTGGTTTCCTACATTGTCTTTTTGCTAATTTTTTTTTCAAGACAAAAAGGAACACAAGGGAGAGAGAAAGAGAGGGGCTGAAAAGTAAAGTGACTTTCTTTTGTTTCATCGAAAGTACTCAGTTAGTTATCATTTGGTTTTAATTCGACGAATAGGAGCATGCCTTTATCAAGACAAGTACAATTTCTAAAAAACAAACATGTGCGCAGTGTGCAAATATTTACTCTTGACTACTCGGAAATAAAGAGGAAGGGTCGACCAACCAAATACTATGTTGCTTGTCTTGGATAAATAATACATCTTTTCCAAGTGGCTCTCATGGTGAACAATTAAATCGTGTGAACATGGTGACAAAACACACTAGCCCCGTAAGTGTCAGGGCGGCTGACCCCCTTTCTAGCACACAAGTCTCGCCCGTAGTATGAGTACACGTCCCACGGTTGTCATTAAACGGTTGCGTTAGCAATCACGGCTTCCACAAGGCTGTTCCCCCCCCACGTCCCCACCCCCCGCCCATTGTATCCTGAATGATAGTTAAACGCAAACTAAATGGCCCTCACACAATGCCCACTCCAGGCGGCTCATGAATTTTTCATGTGAGAGCCCGGCTCGGGGGAGTTTTCCACGGGTACACGGGGAGCTGACACACCGCCGGGCGGCAGCACCTCCAATGCGGCCCTCGCCTGCGGGGCCCGGGTGGAAACAATGGTGTCCGGGCCGGCGGGGGACAATGGACCCAGCCGGGCAATTAATCATGCGAACCTTTAATCACAAGAAATGATTACAAAGTGGTTAACATGGGGCCAGGGTGTGATCACAGCAGCGAATGCTAAAGCTTAATCATAGATCCTAATAAAATGGTTCGCTGAAGACAGGCTTTTTATCGATTTCAAGAGGCCCCCACCCCATCCATCCAGTATAAGAAATTTAACCAATGCAACATATTCAACAGGTTAATTTATTCAGTCACTGGAACAAGATGAGAAGAATTCTTATATACATGTGTGGCTAATTGACACGAAGTTACCCAACTTTGAATAAATAAATCTTGAACTTATGTATTTTTTCCTACTTATCCACAGGGCTCAGCAAAGCTCGAGAAGGCCGAGATCCTGCAGATGACAGTGGACCATCTGAAGTACCTGCACGCCAAAGGTAAGCATGGTAAGAAAACCGAATCAATTTATATTCTTTAATTTAAACACACTCCCCTAAGCCCCATTTGACATGAAAAAAAATTATTTTCCTAAACTTCAAGATTAAAATTATTTTACACATGAAATACCAGAAGCTTATTCACTGTATAACAATTTTATATCTTATTCAGCAGCAAATCCATTAATTAATCCGTCTTAAAAGTTGGCATTTTTTAAGGCGGTTAAAACTCCTTGGGGGTCTTGTAGTCTTAACAAAATGTCAAAAATTTGATATAAATCTCTGAACTCTTCTAATACATGTTCACGATGTTTTTCAAGTTTCTCCCACGGTGTGAAACCCGTGTGGCCGCAAAAGTCACAGTTTTATTTTAAAACAACTGATTGGTTTTTGAACCCTCTCTCAGTTACACGAATGGCCAACTTGCGTAAGTAGGCTTTGGTTGTGATTAAATTTTCACTGTTCTGATATTCTTCAGGTATCGATGGCTCCTTTCATCCGTATGGCGATGCGCACGCCTACGCCATGGATTACCGTGTGCTTGGGTTCCGTGAATGTGCCTCCGAGGTAGCACGCTACATGGTCACCGTGGAGGGAATGGACATCCAGGACCCGCTACGCCTTCGCCTCATGAGTCACCTCCAGTGCTACATGGCCCAGCGGGAGTTCCAGTCCCGTCAGCACTACTCGGTCCCTGGCCATCCGCACTCGCAGTTCAGCTCCCACGCCGCTGCCCACGGTCAGACCGGTGTCCTGCCTCACGGCCAGCAGCACGCTGTCACGGCCGAGCCCTCCCACGGCACCTCCATCCCCTCCGGGGTCCAGATCACGGACACCTCCACCCCTAGCCGGCAGATGATCCCCATGATCACCAGCTCCAGCCAGGAGGCGTCGTCGCTGACCTCTTGCCACACTCGGCTGCCCGTGCCGCCCTCTACGGGTGCCTCGGTCCCCATCAACTCCTCGGTGTCTACCCAAATCTCGCCGCCGGTAGCGCCCATCCAGAGCCTCCACACGCAGTACCCCGGGGTTACGTATAACAGTCTGCCAGTTCTCTCCCCGAATGGCTTCAGTCCGACAAGCTCCTCCCACATGACCCACAGCACCCTCGTGTCTAAACCCTACCGCCCCTGGGGAGCGGAGATGGCATACTAAATTTCAACCTCATGAACTCCGAACTCCGTCGGAAGTCTTCCTAAAGTTGTGACCTTTACAAGGCGAGTCTCTCATGTTAACATCTATCGCACGAATGAGAATCATCTCCAGGTCAAAGGTCACCTTTTGGAGTGCCTGTAACATTTTTGAATTTGAGTCTTTTTAATTTGATTGTCTGTGCTCTTTTTGTATTTTCCTCACACTACCATCACTCTGTATTTATACAATAGGCCCAGCAGAGTTTATAAGCCTTGCAGTTCACTTCGTTTGCAGTTAAATCTCCGAAGTGAAAACAGCCCAATTGTTTTTGTCATTGTATGCCTCTTTTTTCATCGCATGTTTATAAAACGCGGTGCTTTCAAAAGAGAAAGCCAAAGATTGTCAACATTTACAAAAAGTTTGAAAACAGTTCCTGTTGTTTTGCATAGATATGTTGCTACGACGTTTAGGGTTTATAGAAGGTAGAAAATGCGTGAATTAGACTTAAAATAGAGTCATTTTCGAGTGCTACCTTCGAATTGTGCCTCCAATAATGCAATGCAATTTGCTTTGATTTTTATTAACTGCATTTCGTACCAATAGGAATGCTAAATTATTCGTTAATTCGTTATTTAGTGATATCCCTGATTAATTTATTAAATTATTACATTCCATTTCGACGACCCATTGCTTCATTAATATTTTATCCTGACGGAACGTCATCTATTTATCTCTTTCACACTAAGGAAATGTGTGGCTATTCATTGTCAGTACTGTTGCCATGGCAACGTGGAGGTATTCAGTTGGATGTTTATTATAAATTTCTGTTTGTAATGTTTTGTACCATTCTGTAAATACATTATTTATTTAACTCTTTTGATATGATACGAGAAAGGACCTCTTGAGATAAAAGTAACAGACTTGAAAAGATACACCTCAACTCAAACTGTCGGTAATCAAAGTGAGTATATTTATAGTGACCATGTCGAGACGGGTAGAAGATGTCCCACTGACAGTTTACCGCTGGTATAAAGTTCTATTTGGCGTTAATGCAGCGAAGGGGTTATAGAAAATGTCCTAAAACACACAAATAAGAAGTACAACCTTCGCAGGTTTAAAACTGCCCGATATAAATATTTGAGCGTTGCGTGCGATATTGTTGCAGTTTTAGACAGTATAAAAATAATTTTGTTTGTTTGTATGTGTTTTTGTTTAATAAAATGATTTTTTATATCGAAAACGCTGAAATGCAAGATTAAAATTTGAAATAAAATGAATGCTACCATGTGCGTGTTTTATGGGAATTCCTCCCCGATGATATTTTCGACTGAGACTACCTGCCCACTGCCAAATTTGTTCCCGCCATGAATGACGATTTAATCTGGCTTTTAATTTTTGGGGGGTTGCTTTTGTTGAGAAAACAAGAGAGAGAGAGAGAGAGAGAGAGTTACAAGCTGGTTTTGACCTTTGGAACTACTTTTTTTGCCAAACATTTCCTTCATTTGAAACACAATTCTAACCTGTAACAATCCCTATTTCTCCAGAACCTTTTGCAGAAATTAGGACTTCCTTTCGGTGTTCTGGGCGTACATTACCGGTGCTAGAGTAATCATGAGCTGCAGAGAACTAGCAGCTCTCTGGTCTGTCTCGCGTGGGAATTTCATTCAACAAACTTGCTCTATTGAAAAGTTATGCATATACATCTAGATCCAAACTGGTGACAAATTTCACAATGCCTCAATAGTTCCGGCTTGGTGAGATTAGGTTTGCTAAAAAGAATCCTCGACACTTTCTTCCATATTCGGCGCTGAAGGATTTTCAAGATCCCCCAAAACGGAGGGGAAAATTCGATATTAGATTATATTGCTTCGAAAACGGGTTATGGGGGAGCTACCAATATGGCAAAACTCCAGTCCGGGGCAGATTAAGGATTTTTTGCTGGCGAGGTTTCGGGAACTTTTTTCGCACAGTGGGGTGGGGGTACTAAATGTAGTTGACGCCGACTGTGATGCATTTATTCCCTTTATGTTGTCCTTAATGGTAGACGCAAAACAAAACTCCTAGTTGTCAGGTCGTCCAACCTTCACACGTAGGCCCCTGACAAAATGAGCGGATGGTGGGGGGGGGTCAACCTTCCCTCACTGATTTTTGACAGTCTTGACATTATCGTCGGAGGAATCCACCCACTTTCATTGTGTTTCGTGAATTTGAAATGAATTATGCATCTCTTTCCTATCCTTCATGTCAATTTACAACTCCTGCCTCCCAACGCACGCCTCTCAAATAACTTGGGGAGACCTCCACAGACTTCATTAAATCCATCAGAAGGTCGACCGACATGCAAAGCGATCATTCGCTCAATGATCAGAGTGATGGTAATTGCTGCTCTTTCTCTAATGGAACGATCCCAGATGCCGCCCAAGGCAATATGACCAGTTTGACCCAGTTATATCTTTGAAAAACTGGAATAAAGGAGCCTCTACATTGTGCAGAAATTTCTACCAGCACGCTTAGGCCTACTCTGCCCATTGCTTCCACTCACTCAAAAACTACTATCCTATGAATGTCTCCCGCAAAAAATCGAACGAGGAGAATGGACTCATTGGGAACATGGAACACCCACTGCGACAACTGTCAGGCTCAGCTCCACATCTTATTTGGGATGATAAATTTAAGAATATTTCTTTTTAAACCGGTTTGGGAGTACAATGGTGTTCCACCCAGGGTGGCATGGATCTTTTGGGGGTGTAAAAACAGAGGAGTTATTTATTATTTTTTTTCTGCCGGTGTCTGCTCTCGCGACAAGCAACAGCTCCAGCAGGGTGAATGGGGCCTTTGCGCGTGGGGGGAGCGTGGGAACCTCACCGGGCCTTTTGTGCCGGGTCAACCGGGCAGAACGCACCGTCGCGGCATGCCATCACGCCCCGGTGGACCCCGCGCGGCCAGAAAGGCAGTGTTGTTCCTCTGCGGGGTCACCAGTGTTGCAGGCTGGAACCCCGGCGAGTTTGTCGGGGGGGATAGCTGGGCCGGACTGTGGGAAACCACCTGCCAGGGATGTCCAAGGTTTGGAGGGGGAAGGGAGTGGAGCGAAGCACAGTACACAACCCAGTTCTTTGTGGTTGGTGTAGTTCCCGCTGTCGTTCAACTCGTCAATCAATTTCCCACGGGAGGGAGGTCAGACACACAAGACAGAACAAGCTCAAGTGCGTCATATAATGTCAGCAGGCACTCAACTGGTGTCAAGCTGTAGTCATCATTCTAGCTCTGAGGAATTTAATATATTAAAAATGAAAACATAATTACTTAAAGTATTAAACTAGCCTTGAGTTGTAATAGTTTTTTCCCCCGCAACGAACCACTTGTTCGATGATGTGCAGGGATATTATGCACTGAACAAAAGATATAATTCCATACCATGTGGAATGCTCAAGGGTCACCGCCATTTTGGCCGGGGCTGATTATGTCGCATACATGCAATTGTGTTACTTTTGGGCGTACGGTTATGCCAGTTGATTATTGGGTGAAACCATGCACAGATCTACACCAATAATCCTCGCGTTTTTTCCGGGGCTGGACGAAGGTCCAGGAGACACTAATTAGCAACGACTTGGTAAACCATTCGAAACGGAATGGGGTCAATCTCCAACTTGTTGTTGTTGTGGTGGTGGAGGTGGTGCCGGTGCTGGTGGTGGTGAGCGGCCATGGGTTGTAGAAACCTCACCTTCGGCTCGCAAAATATTTTGCCTCAAATACTTAGCCCTATATTCGTGATACAGAATCCATCCAGTGGCTACAATTATCTACTGATTTAGTATGAGTATGTGATAGCGCCACCAAGCTATAGGGCCTATAGGCCTACGTGACTTTTGCTTTTGTACTGACAGCCGGCCATGTTTCGGAAACCTCTGGAAGTCAAAATCTGTAACTTTAATGGGTCCAGTGGTATGATAAATTTCATAAAAAAAGGAGAACCTCGTTGAGTGGCGGTACACGCGAAAGTATTAAAACATATTTACAGTTGAAACTGACACAATATAGTGACGGCAATCCAAATAACTGAAGGCGAATGCTTTGCCAACCGTTTATATCACATTCATGCAAGACAAACTTGTCAGATTCTGTACAGTTGCTACTCGCAAAAGCTACTCGAATTCGACGAAAAATAGCCTCTAAATGGTTGTTAGTTTGCCCGCCCACTCGTGCCCTCCGTGCAAACATGCTCCCACCCACACACTCGGCAATAATTGTTCAAACTCTCTTATCAATTAGTGCCTGCGTTCTCGAAGTCCGTTGCAGGACCGCAGATGGTGCATTGTTCTCTCTGTGGATAGTGATTCACGTCGGGCTCTGATGACGACGACACTCAATATAGCTGTTGCCCTTTTGCTGTGAATTTGGTGACCTTTATAAACTCCCATGAACACCCTACCTCTACAACTCATCGCAGTAGGACCATTTCATCAAAAGTCGCCGATTTTGTCGATTAATTCCATTACAAAGTCACCGTGGAGGAAGCTATAGTCAACACTTCGTGTGTGGCGGCAAATAGGCGCAGAACCGTCTTGTGCCTCGTCGGTACACACTCTCCCAGGAGTTCAGTTTTCAAAGTCTTTGAAAACCAGTAGAATTTGTCCTTTTGGTTGCAAGGAGTCGAAAGCACAAGCAATTCAGTCAACCCGCCACTTAAAGGGAAAGAGAAGAGTTATTTATATATTTGGGCCATTTTTTTCCCCTCGAAATTTCCTCTTAGCCTTCAAGGGCCCCAAACCTGCAACTCACATAACAAAGGCTGTGTTTATAAAACTGGCTTGCCAGAACCACCCCAGACACTATTCAGCATTATGATCACACTGACAGGAATATGGAGCCACTGTATCACTGTTTAGAAATTATTGTCCCTTACACCAAAACATACCAGTCTGAGGTTTGCATTACGGGATCTGCAAACAGTCGTACAATATACATATTTTTTTTTTGAAATTTACAGAGCGGCTTAACCCAATCCTTAGGGCACAAGCAAAGGGTAACCCCTGAAGACCTGTCTATAAAACTTTGTGATGCAGCTCGCTGGGGAGGTGAATATGCACTGTCTAACTTATGAAAAGGAATCCATTACGAATGTGGCATTATTTCTGAAATATTAGGCTAAAGAGGCAACCACCTGGCAAATAAATTTTCGGAACATTTACGGCAATTCATATCCATAATGAACATGAGCCACAAGACGGCGCACATGAATTTTCGAGCATGGCCGTCACCAACATGCAAACAATTAATGGAGGAAAAAACAACTTGCCCGTGATGTTTGGATCCGCAAACAATGAAGCAAAGTTAGTCAATTGGAAAATGGGTTTTTCGTAGGACAAAGACTTTGTCACATCGATAAGCCTAATGCGTGGGCAGAAGGATACATTCAAATCAGCTCAAGAGATGCAGGTGCGGTTCCTACGATTACTGTTACTGTTCCGTATTTGTTATATTTGGGGGAAGGGACCTCCCCTATTAAGAGTCTGTGCTCATCAAGATGACATTACAACGACGAACTCATACACCGTACTCATCTAGCTGCACGACAAGTTCTGCGGTTTTAAAAGAGGATTATTCATTAGGAGACTTTCAAGTATCAACTATCATATCGCCATTGAGATCCCTGCCTCGGATGCTTAGCGAGACAGCAACTTCAATCAACCCCTTTCATTAAAAATTGCTTCAGTGAAGTTTATTTAGACACACGTTTATGTGCAACTCATTTTTTTCATCATTAGGGGGTTAAATGTAAAGAAAAGAGCACTTAAAAATATTTAAAATTGTCCGTACTTTTCCGGAAAGCTGAAGGAGCTGTTGCTGTGACGTCATTCGGGGAAGACGATGGTCGGTATGTAGGTTTGTCCCAATAAATTAGACTGCGAACAACAAATCTGCCCATTAAAAACACTCCAAAGAGGGTTGTTTGTTGGTGTATTGCCATACACTCCAACCAAAAAGGATTACCAAAGATAAAGAAATCTTTATCACCACAGAATGTCACAATTTTCATCATTTTGTCTATACAAATCAATGCAACATAGAGGGTTTCTCCTTGGAATGATATCACACTTTTACTCATAAACACAAAAATTTGAATTAGCGTAAAAATCCTTAAGGCTCCGAAATGCCTTTGAAAAAAAAAGCAAATATTGAAACTGTGGTTAGATAAAGTTTACCTCTAATAGTGACACAATTAACATGGAAACTTGTTAAGTTGACTCGGAGATTTTCTAGATCATACGTTCAACAATTTGGAATGTCAGACCAGCGAAACTTCTTGCTTTCTTCCTGATTGTAGGAACAGTAGGCGGGGGCCTAGACCTGTATCAGCATTGGGGCGGTGAGACGAATCTTGGCATAGTCACACAACTCTAAATTTGAAAAGTTAAGGGAAAGCTGGACACTATTATAGGCGCTAGGTGGCGCTCTTCATGATAGACTCTTATAGACATCTCCTAGTGCTCACCTTTCAGACAAGTTTACCTTGTTAATTCTAAATCAGATACAAATTAAGAACGGACTGGATCTCCCTTTCTTAGTACCATTTAATTCGAATTCATTGGCTTTCTTAATGTTAACTATTAAGCAAGTGAAAATTTGCTTGGGGATAATCCAATGATGCGTTACTGCATACAGGTCAAAGAGAGGGGCTGCTACCCCCTTCCCCGCCTATTTTATACACCTTGTGGAAACTGGTTGGCCAGATGTAGTATACGCCGACTGTGAAACAGATCTTACGTGTCCATATGCAAGAATACTACATTTGAGTTTCAAAGCAGAAACTAGCCCAGAGGAAAAACAATGTATCGTATTGCAGAGGCCGCTCTTTAAAGCGGCTACATGCCTTATGCAAGACGATCCTCGAATTGACCCATCACTTAAAACGACAAATTGTGGCCTTTCTGGTCTGGCACGTCAGTTTAGCACCATATGGCATATTACAGGTGTGTTTTTAAAGACAGGAAAAACACGTAAGAAAGATTGATGACTGGTGGTAAAACTTTATATTTATTGTTTGCCGGAGCAGAACATCAGTTTCACGCATCACGTATTGTTCGGATGCAAACTTAAGCGACAGCGCACAGAGTGACACTGATGTTTTGCACATCCGTGAGAAGCCTTCGCGTTACGCCGGCTATTTTCTGTCACAACTAACCCCTCAAAACGTACAGGTCACGCACTAGTTCCCCGTGCGTTTGTTGTTACAAAATGCCGGATTGGTCGAAGTAAAACGTCTGCCCGTTTTTTCATTCACACAAATAAAGGTTGGTCATTTATATTTGTCACACTGTCTAAAAACAAAATTAATAGCATTTCGTCTCACACATGCAACAGTCGTTATCATGACAGGTGCACCTCACGATCTGTCTATAATCTCGAGCTCTCCCGCACCTGTTCCATCATAAACCTTTATAAGTTTGATCATTTATTATTACGGGGGAGCAGTTGGTGATAAACCATCACAATTTCTGTCTCTTGTCTTTGGATAGATGGAGGACGATCCTGAGAGTAAGGTGGACAACCAGGGTTCGTGGGTGTAAAGCTGCACAGGCTGAGGTTTCGTAGGGTTCAAATCAGCGTTGAACTGGTTTGGAGTGCCGATAAATTATAAGTTTAGATTGGCAATCCACTTGCGCCAAGGACGGTTGGTTGAGAGCTCAATATTAAAAATGATTGCCAAGCTGGTATGACTGCCACCACCATAATGCATTCTTCCAGCACTCGACATTACCCATTTTTTAAATTGTAACCACCTGACTCTGCCAGACGACTGGGGCGAACTGATCTGGGCTTAAGCTGTTGATGAAATTCAGATGTTGGACAGGCTAATATGGCACTAAGCGAGGAAGCATACGGGGTTTTAAAACGGGTTCACGACACACGTGCAGGCTTTTTCCTCGAAGGAACCCAATTTCTATTACCCCAGGAAAAGTCAATGGCAATGGCATTAACTTTCTTTTTTTTAAAAACAAGTTTACGATGCACACCTAAGATTGATTTATTTGCAGTTTTGGAAAATCATAACTCACACTTTTGCCAGTAATCTTCAATTATATCCCATCCTTTGTTCATTTCAGCGTTAAAGGGAAAAAGTCTTGTACCAAGCAGTTCATGTTAAACAAAAGTGCACCCCCCCAAAAAAGACAGCGAATATCTAAGATAGCGCACGTATCCGAATGATAAAAGGAACAAATAAGGCAGTTTTTGACATTTGGCGCCATGTTCGTTTAATTCCTCAAAAAGAGACAACAGACATGCAACAGTTTCGGAAGAAACAATGACATCTGTTAAAAATTCGTCCGTAGACACTACGAACATTTAACAAAAGAAACGCAGTGCCCTTACAATCAACGTCCATTGTTATTCCATCGTACTTCTTTTGTTAGATGTTCATCGTGAGAGTATAAAGCAAACCTCCTACACATTCTGTTTAATAGTCACTAAATTATTCTGCATAATACAGCATCATAGGCAATACAATAACTGTTAAATAAGATTTTACTAAAACGCCAAAATAATACTTTCGGTTAAATAACATAAACGTAAAATATCAAAATGCTCGGAGAATTATAATACACTAGAATAATATCAGTTCAAAACCTGGGTACTTGCAGCACACGTTCAAACGGGTACAGCTTCCAGATAATTCAAAGAGTATGGGTCACAACTCATATGACATTATTCCTTCGAATAATACTCGAGCCAAAAATATTTACTGTATGTACTGTTTTATTGTAATAGGCTTTGAAGTGACGACATGCGAAAGCAATGAAATAGGGACATGCAGCTCTTTCTCCAAATGAACTGATTCGCTCGTCACCAACCGCCCTTACAGGGCGCTGGAAAGGGCAAGTGCATGACCTATATTTCGATGAGCACGCTTTGGGTAGAGTTCATGTTCACTTCCACACGACGAAGTGTACGTGAGACTTGCGCACTGAATACACATGCGTGGATCAGGACAGCAAGTTACCCACAATGCTTTGCTCACCCATAGCTGTGACATATTTTCTTCACAAAATTTGTGGAGCGCATTTGCCACTCCTTGGGCGACGAGCGAAACAAGATGGCCTTGTTCTTCGTGACGAGATAAATTGTTGATCAGTAGAGGGCGTCGTTTCCATAAAAAGCCACAAGCTGGCGCTGTTCAGGAAAACATTTTCTGGGAAGTTGGCTTTTTGTGGAAACTTCTGCACTAGTTCTAAACAGTGTCATATACAATTGTAAATACGTTTGTTGTTTATACTTGAAAGGATTTTATAGCTTACTGCATGCTTCGACTTTGTCGTTTATACATTGGAAATAACATTCACTATCAAACAGGTCTTTGCCGAATCACTTTCCGCATACATTGTAAATTACAATAAGATAGAATCGGATGATTCACGATAGAGAATGGAAAAGTGCTTGGGATTTTTTTTTACCCCAACGAAAATTCATATAAAAATGATCGTACTGGTAAAATTGTCTTCTTGGATTTTTCCCCAAGCGCAAAAACAAAACATGATGTACAAATTGAACATAGATGGGTAATGTTCCTTTGACCTCGTGGATTACAAGGTCGTATCACTCATATCTCAACATGAGTATCCCATACATACACACTCTTCGTTGTCTTCATGCATAACTTCAGCAACACATGGGTTACTAGAAGACGCAACGTGACTTCGGCTCTGGTGGTTTGACTGGCCAACAGCAAATAAAATGTAATTTGCCGGGGGTCATGGGCATCTCACCAACAGTGGCATAGCCACGGGGGGGGGTTCCCCCTGAAATAAAACGGATGAACGGATATTGAACAAGGCTAACAAAAACTTGCCCCTAAAAGCCACACCACTGAAAGCTGGTGCCCCCCTCAAGATGCTGGTGCCCCCTTTGTGCCAACCACTAGTAAAATCCTAGCTACGCCACTGCTTACCAGTCAGTTAGGTTATGCCGTTCACACACTGTTCAAAACTGACAAAAACTGCCGCATGTATTGTGGGTTATACGTATTGGAGGAAATAGCTCGTTTCTTCGCAGTTTTGTATATAAGACAGGAAAGCTTTCTTACGGTAGCATAGAGTACCTTTATACATGACATTTCATAACATTTCGAAGCATACAACTAAATACCCTGTAAAGAAACAACACTAGAAAATTTATCATTATGATTACGTACTCAACATTCAACAGTAATTTGTAAGGCTTTGTGTATGCTATCAAAATGTTTTGGCATCAAAAGTATGTTCTATAAAAGTAAGAAAATTACAAACATCGTTTTCCCGATTCACACTTCCATATTTTGGCAAGGTTTATGTCCAATATAGTAGACGCAATATTAAGGTGTTTTTGCAATACGGATTTCAAACAAAAAAGGATCCTGTTGGCCATGCAGGGTTCCATATACTGCAAAAACTGGTGTCACTTTAACACCCTCGGTCTCCACCCAGGACATCAGTGGAGTCTTCTACTATATGAATACAGGGTGCTAATCTAACACTACAGTTTTGCAGTTTGCTTGATATCTGTAGTGATAGTGGTGCATCTTTGGCCGTAAGAGGGCGTAGTCACAATTTATGTAATTTGGGAATTGAAGGCTTAGGCCTACAGGTAGATTGGTGAGAGTGTTACCGAACCGTGAGTAACTCAAGGTTTGTGTAGATTGTATCCTTCATACTCCCGCTTATTTCTAACACAACAAAATAAACAAGGAACGTTCATTTAATTCGAATAGTTCGTCGAGCTTTTTTCCTAGAACGAGGCGGAGAATTGCGCCCCGCTTCAGTCAAATTTCGTACCACCAAAATGACACTCGTCTTATTCAGACTATAAAGCTAGGAACACAGCTCTATGTTCAGACATGTTCTTTCCTCAAATGAAGGGCCCATCGTTGACCACAGACCCCGGACCTTTCCTATTCCTGCTTTCTTCTATCCCCATTAATCTAAACCAACTCCTTCAGTTGATATCCTACGTTTTATCTCTGTGTAAAACCTGCACGTTTGCAAATTTAGGTTTGTGACTTAAGCAGGGAGAGGCAGAAAACGTACTACGTCCTAGTTGATTGGACAGCATTAGAGCCGGGTTACACTTGGTGCAAGAGCGAACCCAATCACGAATTATTTTTTGACGTCAAATCATTATTCGCGCTGCAAACTCGCACAAGTTGAATACATTTCAACTCGAAGGATCTTTGGCTGCAAATGTAATGGTAAAAAAGGAATTCGCTTCGTTTTCACATTCCTCTGTTGTATGAACTGGCCTTTAAGATGCCATCGAATATTCGGACTTTCTGAAATGCCGACTCATGAGCTTTCAACTTGTATACAAGGAGACATACGCGATAGGTCCAAGGACTCCGTTTTTCCTCAAGTCCAAACCGGTTATAGAATGAGTACTGAAGTTCCATGGTGCATTCCGCAGTAAGTGCAATAGTGTTAAACGAACAGATATCTCCAAAAGACTCCCCAAGATGACCTCGTTAAAGTGACCGAAATATTGACTTATTATCATGGTTGTTTTCGGAACCAAATATATTGTGTTATGCCAAACATAATTATGATGTACAGTTACGAACTGGATATGAGAATAACTTCTTTTAATTCATACAATTAAATTGTAACTACGCGTAATTAGAATAGGTACTAGGAAGTGGAAGTGATGTTAAATAATAAATCTAATCTGTGGAATGAATCTTGGAATCAGACCGTTGTTTCAATGCTGGACCTTTTCCTCTTAAAATGTCCATCCTCTGCTGCTGATACCAAGCCCATCTCTTGTTCCGTTGTCAGGTCGTAGTCGGACACCGACGACCCCGACGGAAGTCGTTCCTGGTAGAACGACGCCTGGGCATCCAGGCCGGTCTTCAAGCGTTTGCTGGCCAGCCAGCGCGCCGGCAAGCGGCGGCCGGGGTTAGGAGAGGGCCGGGGGAAGTGCACCGTGAGGGCTGGAATGATGCCGACTTGGCTCGGCAACTGTGATGGTCAGTATACCCCGTTCGATTGAACAAGGGGAAGGGAGACAGGGAATGCAGGTTTAGACAGGACACACGCGAGAGGGTTGAACGAAAGATGAGATCGGAAACACAGGAGTGGAAGACAGGAGAGTGGACGGAGAAGGTGCCGCGACCAACCAGGGCAGGAAATAAAACGGCGAAGAACAGAAAATTAATGACAAACAGTGCCAAAAATCAAAATAATAACATGCAAACATACTGAAGGCTGTAAGAGCAAGACGTGGACTCTGAACGAGGCGTCTGTGTAGAACTGGAGTTTGATACTGGTACCAAGGCCATGATCACGAAAAACAAGGTGACTGCAGAGGATTAATCAATATACCGCTAAAGGCTCCAGACGCTTTTACGCTGCTCTGGGATTGAGCGGGAAAGTTGCTCATTCATGAGCGCACTGGCCTCAAGCGCTCTCAGTTTGTTTTCTCTTTTTCCAGAAAATTAACCCGTCGACGTGTATCGACTTCTGGTCCTGGACATTTTATTATTCTGCGCTTAAGTCTAATCCATTCTTTTTAGACCATTGCCCCTGTTCAGAGTACCTGCCATTGTTAAATAACGTAGGCATTAAATAAAAGCTGAAGAGTACGGCGTAACAGGAATTAGAAATTAACGGACAGAAACGGTTTAGTGTACAAAAATCTGGATTACTGTATTATGGGAACAAAATGAACAGTAGATAACCGAGCAAATGGGTCAAACAAAACGAAGTGGTGAGTGGTGGGTTTTAAGAACACGTTATTCAAGGGGAGGGGAATACAAACAATTGAGACGAACAAGGCGACAGACACGTTTTTTTGGACATTGGAAGCGGGGAAGAAAAATACAAGAGTTAATGAGCTAATGCCGCAAGAAGCGATGATTGATGTAAGGGAAAGTTTGACTAGTACATACGTGTCAATGAAGCTATCGTAAGTGTGATGTACAAAGTTGAGATTTTTTGGAATTAGTCGCAAAGATTCCTGTTAATGCACACTGGAGTATGGAAAAGGAGCATGCAGAATGCATCTGTCTATGGGAATTGTTTGCTTGGTTAAGATTTTTCTGCGACCACCACAGGGCAATAGTTATTGCGTCTACTAATCACTGAAGTTTGTAGGATGTTTTGCTGGCAAGATGCTCGTAGATAGAATCTAGACTAAAATGTTGTTTCTATCTTTTCTTGAGAACCTACCATTTCGTCAAGGGAGGCTGTAGGGGCAGGTTTCAGGGGAGCCTCTTGACTTGCTTTCCCTGGCTGTTTTTCCACATCTGACACCCCTTTGTCACCAGTGGAAGAGCTAACCACACGGCACGTCTCCACTTGATTCACTGTTTTCTTGGACGATACCACCATTACACAGGTGGTGTTCGGCTTGGGGGGGCTGGTGGGGCTGGAGGGACTGGCGGAGGTGGCAAAGGTCACACTCCGCGCAGGCGTAGCGTGAGAACGATCACCTGACTTGGACCGTTTCTTGTGCTTGGACGCGATAGATGTTTTGGTTTGAGGGGATCCGCAGTCAGGCTGGGCAGATGCTCTAGGAGTTGGGGAGACAGCGGCAGATGGACGCTTCAAACTCGTCACTTGAGTCTCAACAATTTTGTGGCTGTGCTCCTCAGTTTTAATCTGGGAGTGGTGCTGAGTGAGTGACACGGCCGGTGCAGCGCTCCAAACAGAACTCTTAGAGGGAGGGGAGTGGGTCTGGGGACTAGACTGGCTTGCCGCAGCCCCAGCAACCGTTTCGTTGTTGTTCGTCACTGAGACGGTGAGTTGTGACGGTCGGTGGTAGGGGTTGTTATTGTTGTTATTGGGTTCACGGCCGGCGGTGCTACTTTCCGTGATGGGTTTGATGGTCTGCTGCTGTTGCATGAGCAGACTCGGGGGCAGGTCTGCAAAGAAGTTGGCCCTGGCTGAGCGAGGAGACACCCACTTGCGTCTTGTCGTCGGGGACTCCACCTCGCTGGTCTGGCCCAGGTGTTGTAGTGGGACCTCGGAAAATGGTCTAGTTTTGGCTTGCATTTGGCTCTTAGTCCGTGGCAACTGACCGGGAATGACCGCGAGAGGCTCAGCACTCTGCATGGCAGTTTGCGGGTAGGGCGGCAGGGGGATGTTGAAATTCTTCCCCGAGGCAGCCGAGTGTCTCCAGGTCGGCGGGGGAGACTGGGCTGGGGTCGTGGCAGGAGCGCTGTCGGACCGTTTGGTCGTTGCATGGACCTCGTTCATTTTCTTTGGTAGCAGGAAACCCGGAGGGGCACAGGGGTAGTTGGACACCGAGCGGGGCAGTCTAGGCGACCCGACAGGGCTCGGACCTTTGATGCCCGGGACTGAGCTGCTGGCTTTCACCGGGACTGTATTACTGTTTGGTTTGGAAGCACTCGGGGAGATAAGTTCCTGACTCTGAGCATGCACGCTTGCTTTCGAGGTAGTCGTGTTCCTAGCACTTTGGGAATCAAGGCCACACGGAGCACTGGCCCCAACACCTTTCATAGTCACGACAGGAGGGGGCGCACTGTCTTTCACAACGGAGGGCTTGGTGATATCTGGTTCTGAGGTTGGTGGGCTGCGACGTGTGTATAGTTCGCTGTCCGTGTGGCGCTCTCGATCGCTGTCGTGATCAGAGGAATCGTCGTGTTCCCGCCTCGGCGACAGGGCGCGGCTCGGCAGCGTCCCAGCTCCCCGCGCCAGGTTCTGCTCAAACATCTTCTTCGTCGACGTCACCCTGTTTTTGTCCAACTCAGCCATTCGCTTCTCCAGGTCCGCCTCAAGTTTCACCTCGGAGTCCGAGGACACGGGCGAGGATTTCCGGTCCGTTTCACGGAGCAGCCCCTGGCCGTCGAATCGGCCGAACTTCGTCAGCACCGGCTTGGCGGTAATTTTGGCCGGTGGTGCATCGCGCTGCTTGTCACTCAGCGCGGGGGACGAGGACGCCGAGTTGGTGTTGCTGTTACAGCTGCTTCCGTGTTCGCTATCATCCTCGTCCTTCACGGGAGAAGCAGTCCGTAGATCGGGCGGACTAGGGGTTGAACACATCCGCTGCGCCAGCTGCACCCGCATCGAAGATGTCTTGGGCTCAGGAGTCTGAGCCCGGGCCTGCTTCTCGGGAGATCGCTTCCTGCGCGGTTTGGGCGACGAGGAAGTGAGTACCTCAGCGCTCCGCGTGTGGGGGCGGTCATCACGTTTACTGCCCTCAACAGGTGGCCTCTCCGTGGTAATGATTTGAATGGAAGTGGTATCCGAAGTGCTGTCTTCGTACTGTTTGGCTCGCTGGCACACGGGCTTGGAATATTTGACAACGGAAGCTGCATGCGCGACGTCTGAGTGTGACTTGGACCTACGAGATTGTAAGATACAAGACCAAACATAAAAGTGAAAATCTGAAGGTGCCAGCCAAGTTATAAACAGAAATGCAGATTATCCTGTACAGGATAAATAGAGTGAACTCAAGTTTGCCAATGTCAGCCTGTAACAGTTGCCATTTTGTGGTCAGGCTGATTCAATTTCATTTCATATCCCATGTTTTGAGATCTCCCCCATAGGGGCAGTGCTGGTTGAAACATCAGTAAAACATTCGAGTATATAAAGAATCCAAACGGACTCTGACAATTTGGGACTGTCTCCCAAAACTTCGCCGAATCTTGCCAAATCACGAATAAATTTCAATACCTCCACAAGGAACCCCACAGCTAACAAATCCTTGAAATTACAGTGGCTCAGAAACAGAAATATAATTCTGGAAGGGACACTAAATCAGGGCGAATCTCATCGTTTCTTTTACCGTCAGGTAGCAAGACCAACAATGACGCAGAACAGCAGTACGAATGCACATGTACGTGTTTATCATTACCTTCTTGGGCGTGTAGCACACACTATCTCTAGTTGCGCCTGATAACAGGTTAGATCATCCCGAACAATTGCGATTCGTCGGAGGGCCTAGAGTTGCCAAAACCACGACCCCACAAATTTTGAGAAAAACACACAAAAAACCACTGTGAGAAAAAAAAATGAAGACAAGCGGAAATACGCTGCCTACCTGTAGTCTTTCTCCGCTGAAGCCACCTTTTGAGCGCGTGCGCAGATGAGAGGGCAGGAAAGGAAGATGGAAGAGAAAATATGGCTGAGTTAGTACATGCGCTGTTAGAATCTACTACCAGTCTGCCACCTACATTTTGCTGTAAATTCTACGTGACAGGTGCCTTTTCTGTATCTCCATAATGCATCTAATTGGGCAAAAATGTTGCTATTCATGGAAAACATGTCATCAACGATAAGGTCCGTGATTTATAATGGAGCATACCTTCAGTGTTACGTCGAACAAAGAAATTCAAATTCAAAGAGAGAAATGACGTGGAAGACAACGGGTCAAATTCTATATGGGGCAAAACCGAGATTTGTTGACTTCTCTCAGAGAGTTTTGATTGTTCAGCTTCTATGGCAGCAAATACCTCAACTTTTTATACCAGTTTTGGTTTCCTAGTAGATCCGTTAAGTGTTTCATCTTCTGGTTTGGGACTTTCAGCGCACGTTTTCATGATGAAATTCTATCAAACACACACGAGAAGCTTTAGGATGAATAACAGGGCTTTCATTCCACCAGAAAGCTTGCTGAAGCAAGTCAAAACATTTCTTAAACACTGAAAGAAGAAATCTGAGTCTTTATAAAAAGTAAAAGCCACTGAAAATGCATTGGCAAGATGCAAAGATGCACATGCTAGGGACAGTTTCCCGGTTTTCTTTTGCAAAGAGATCAGCATGCCGCACAAGGGAAGAATACAATATCGTTTATATCATTTTCGGGACAAATTACCAGGAGAAAGAAATTTACGTGCAAGCAATACACAGACCTTCAGGCAAAGTATACCTTAGGCTGAATAGGGGAATTCTTTCAGTGGGTGTAATTTGGTAAAAATGTCCTGCCTTGCTTAATAGTTCAACGAGAAGTTTGTATCATATGGGTATTACATGTCATGAATATTTCATACTCTCTTTATATGAATATTCTAACTAGCTAAAATCGACCGAGGAATTGGTTGGTTACCAGGTCAGTTATGGGCAAAGTAATATACCTTGGCATGCATGACAGGGAACAAAGTCACCAAACTAATTCAAAGTTTGAGGTTTGGACCTACCGGTTTTTATCCTAGAGGGCAGCATAGCAATGGGGCACTACATGAAACATGAGACTACAGAAGCAGCTACGTGGCACGCGCACACCCGACTGATACAAAGTTATTTTGATGAGCCGAAAAAGATACGAATCTAAAGCAAAAGTTAAGATGGCATTACATCAACCGTTATGCATAACGTGGATTAAGAAGAGGATAAATTATAAACTACACCAGTTTCAGCTCAATAGAGTATTTCGTTACGTCTCATTTACGGCGTGACACATAACAGGGTGTGTACACAAATCCATAGTAGCAAGTTTCAGCTGATTTTAAATGTCCAATTCAATTCAGTGAACTCAAACTCGTCTGAATATATCAAAGTGTGCGGAAATCAATCCTGAGTAACGTATTTTGCAATCTGAGAGGTTTGAAAACAGATAATGTTAAAGTATCGAAAAGAAAGAAAGTGAAAAGAAAATGCAAGAACCTCGTCAAATGCGTTCTTAGCCGTCATGCTATCTGATGCTTTGATGACGTCAGGCACTTCTTGCGCATGGGCAATCCTATCTTTCCCGTCATGCTCTGGCACCTTTTCTTGCATTCGACGCACGAGGTCGCTCTTTTCCGTTTTGGGTGGGCCACCTTTCTCACTGGATGTTCTATTTTCCTTTATCTACAGTATACGTGACACATGTTTCTATTTCAGGTATGAAAAGCACTACTATAGTTGCACTAACACAGATCTCACAGAACTAGGTTTTAAGAACGATTGTGCATAATTTTTCTCATAGCATTTGATGTGTTTGTCTTTTATACATTTACACTTGTAGAAGCCGTTTACACGACTCATCGGTCTTTCATAAAACGAACATCGCTCATCCGAAATAAAAGATTATTCTGACCTCAGGATATCCTTTCCATTAAGCGAAGTCCATTACATTCCAAAGAGCAACTGGCTCTTGGATAAAAGACTGGTATCATTTTTTGTTTGAATAGATCTTGAAATTTTGAAACTATGGGTATCGGTCGGCAAAATACGTAAAAACAAAGGAGGTAATTTTCTGTTTCATGGTAAACTGGCCGGTAAAACCTACATGCCACTATAAGGGTTGGAATATACAAATATAAGGATACCCAAAGTATTTGATAATCAGCGTCAAATATAACGACCTTTGTTTTTGTTTTTTAACTTACACTCAATTCCTGAAGTCCTTTAGTTAGCGGTTCTGTTGAATGGGAAGGGCTAGGACTTGAGGGTGTATCACTCTTACTTGATACCTGAAAACAAGTACACTTCGACGCCAATCATAATCGTCAACTCAATATGATTTGAAATCTGAAAAAAAAGGTTACTTTCTAATATGAATTATTTGTTTGCTCTTCAGCAAAAATGGCTCTCATGGCCAGCTGAAAATAGTCTGGAAGTCTAGGAAGAGAAACAGATGATCTTACCTGCTTTGTGGCAGAATCATTCATCCGTAACTTTTGCAGCTGAAAAACACCACAAATTGTAGACACGATTAAAATTATGTTTTAGAAAGAGCTTTAAAAATTGTCTTAAATGGAAAAGCATCCAGGTAACTTGTAAATGTGATTCAATTGCATGGTTCCTGATAGTGGGGAAAAAAGGGGGTGAATGTCAACATACAAAAACATACACAAGATTATACAAACGGCTAGTCAAAGAGAAAAGAACATACAATTAATGAACAAAGGACAAACTTTTGTCAGTATGAGCAAGAGATAGCAACAGCAAAAAATTTACTGTGGCCCGTAGACCTGCCATCCATCATGATGGCAAAAGAAACATAAAATAAGGTATTAATATACTCCTATTACTGGAGGAATTTGAAAAAACATTTGACTGTTATGCGGGTACCTCCTGTATAATGTTCTCAATCCTATTGTGTTCCAGCCTCCGCGAGGTTAGACTCCCCTGCAGTCGTTTTTGCAAGTCTGCCCTCTCACTACGCCAAAGGTCCCTGTCTCGCTGGTACCGCAACTCCAATTGGCTGCTTCGCTTCTGCACATCTTTTATTGCCTCCAACTGCTCCTCAAGCTGGGACCAACCAGGACAACAGTGAGTTGTTGTATGGGTAAATGCAAATCATTCAGTTCTAACCATCAAAAGTAAGTGTGACTCCTTGGATTGTTAAGATTTAAGACAAGTTATGAAAAGACTTTGTCACAAGGACGCCACAAGACGTCAAGACGCAAACATTTGTGGAAGAGACGCTGCGTGGCGTCCTTCCACCCAAAAAAATACACAAAATGGCATTTCAGTTGGCAATACAACCTCTAAAAGCCAAACTGATATTCCCGTTCAATGCATTTTATTGACAATTGGGGCTGCATAATGTTCATAATAAGGAGAAATGGGCAAAATGAGATGTACTAAAGCAAGGGTGGCATTGTTGTACGCCCGTCATACCAGCTTGCGTGCTTGTATAGACCTTCCCTAGCTACTCAACGTAGAGAGTCGACAAAGTTGAATCTCATCCAACTTTGCCGACTGTCTGTGTCAACGTTTGCGTTAGTCACGATGACGTATTTCGATATCACTGCGTATCCTCGTTGACTGATCGGTGATACCCTCTGTGTCTCTTTACGTCGGTATGGAAACCAGGCTTTACATACAAAGTGTCCAACTACTATCCAACCTGCACCACATCTTGAAAGGTGAGCTTACCTCTTTGATGGAGTCCGAGAGTTTCTGTCTATCGTCTTCCCATTCTTTCTTTTCCTTGGCGAGCTTCTCCTGAGCCACGTCCAGCTCGCGCTGAATCTTGCCGTGGCGAGCGTCGGCCTGCCGCCGGGTCTCCAAGGAGTTCTGGTTAGCCTCGGCCACAAGTCGTCGGTTGTCGGCCCGCTCGATGTCCCAGGCCGCCTGGAGGCGAACCTGGAGCTCTTCCAGTTTGACCTTCTTAAGTTTAGTCTGCTGCTCAAGCTGTCGGGTTGAAAAGATTTCAGAGTGAGTTGAAGAATAAAAACATAAAGATCACTAAGTCACATTTATCCAAAGACAAGCAATCAGAGATGGATTTCTAGGTACACTTGAGCGTATTGTCCTTGGCAAGAAAACCTACAAGTCTCAAGTTACACACCCCATAGACGAGCCATTGGTAACGCCAGCTATGCAGCCTGAGCTAGACCAAGAGAGGGCAAATTTTCCTAGCAACGGAGGCCCCTCTGGTACTTGTACGGAACTGCGTATCACTGGTTCACGAACGATTATGAAACGTAAGCGTTGAAGTCGCGTCGCTACCTACAAATGAACACTCCCGACCGATATTGCTCTTTTCAACCGATTAGGGGGTGCTTCTGCTCAGGGCAGATAACGATGCAATGTTCACACGGAAAAAGAGGCAACTATACTGTTTCAGGTATGTCTAATTCGAAAATGCAAGTTTCCTCCGTCCCCAAATGTTTCATACCGTTCTCAGCAAGTCAACATCAAATCCGACCACAAACGAGATCATCAAGTCTTCGTGAATGATGAAAGACCAGTGTCTACTTCAGAACAATGATGTTACAGCAATGCAGTCATTAAAGAGCACCTCGAAGGAAAACATGTTTTCTCTGATTTTATCTGTTCATATAAAAATATGGAAGCATCCAAATCGAACACAGTGTCATTTGTCTTCAGAACACAACTATAACAAGTTAAAAAGGTGTTTTTTTTCTGTTCAGGCCGAGATGCGAATTCTGAATGTAGATTGCGTCATTCAGAGAAAACGAGAGGAACCCTCGCCCTGTGTTCGTAGTGGATAAACCCTTATGCATGTCAACCAATTCATGTAGCCATTGTTTGTAGCCATTGTTTGGCATTCACAAGGATTTATCCACTACGAACGCAAGGGGAGGGTTCGATCTGGATGCTACAACATTTGAAGAGATAAAATAGAAGTGCTCTTTAAGAACTAAAGGTTTTCAGTGTCCTTGGTGGCAACTCAGACATGGCACACTGTACCATCCGTTACCTCCTTACCTTTCCTATTTTCGCTAGAAGCTCGTTCTTCTTGACGTCCCACGACGCCTTCTCGTTGGCGTAGCTCCTCTGCAAGGCGTCGCAGCGTTCCCTCTCGGCTGCCAATTGGCCACTCAGCTCCCGCCTGTCTCGCTGGAGTTCATCCGCTAGCTGCTTGGACCTCTTGGCCTAAAACAACAAACGCGTATGAAGGAAAACCTTATCTCACGTTTTACTTCCCAAAAGCAACAGGTGAAAAAGTCAAACTATTATAAACCATGCAGATAATGTAGCATTTTAAGAATCAGATGAAATTCCCGGAGTTAATTAATTGGAACATCGTAAATGATAGAGAATATGCCCAGGGGGTCATATCTATTTCCGTTATCATTTTTCGATCAATGTACACTACATAAGAGTTTCATCCATTTCTTTTGGTAAAACACACAGAAAAGAGCCCTGTATCCACTATGAGCAAGTCTTTCCCTAAAATCTCTCACACGTTGTTTCTTGAACTGAGAGAAAACTCGGACCCTCTTGTCTTTGTACAGAGCAACTGTTTCTCCCTTTTGCAAAAGAGCCTTTAACTTTGTGTTTTTCCACCCTTTTTAAACTTTCAAGCTTGTAAATGTATTTCAACATGACCCACCAGTCTAATACAGGCGTTTCACAATAATCGCGCCTCCAAGAGTTTGCAACGCGTTGGCCAATCACAATGTGCGAAATCCGTCTACCAACCCTTCCGACCCTATCCCACCCTTCCCGTTTGGAAAGGGTCGACACATTTCGCGCGTTGTGATTGGCCAACGCGTTGCAAACTCTTGGAGGCGCACTATTGTGAATCGCCCGTATTAAGATAAACTGTGAGATGTTAGTTTTTTTGCTCCTTTGTGTCAATCCAATGAGCTGCTTCAAAAAAAGATGAGGGAGACAATCGTGCAACAGAAAATCCTATTTTCGTAACGTGTACTTGAAATTCCTAAACAACATTCTTCCTTGTAAAAGTTGTCTCTTTTAGAAACTAACTTTGACCACAACACATACCGAGAGAGACTCTTTTTCAGCCGTTTGTCTGGCCGCCGTCTTGTCCGCTTCAGCGCGCTCAGCGATCGCCTTCTGCACCGTCATCTCCTTCTTTGCCATGTGCAGATCTTTCTCCATATCCGACTTCTCTTTAGTCTCGCTCTCCAGTCTGCACTGGAGTCGGATCAGCTCCTCCTTGAAGTACTTAGTCTCGGCCTCCAGCTTGAAGCGGCTGGCGGCTATTTCGGCCTTCCAGATTTTCTCGTCCCTATGGAACTGCGACTGAATCTCGAGGCGGGCATTCTCGATTCGGCGCGATTGATTGTCGAGCTGACGCTGGAGGCGCTCTAACTCCTTAGAGGAGTTTTTCACAACTATCTCCTTGTCTTCGATCTACAAGTCCAGAATGATTACATTTACATAATTTATATTTCGCATTAGTAACGACATGCTCTTTACAATGCCCAGCTGTTATGGAAACAGGTAGACACAAAATGAATTTCTGAAAGTTTGGATTGCAGAGAAATGTCTGAATTTTACTACCGATCTGGACGGTAAAAGATACACTAATTCAATGGCCACCGATTAATGACGATATCATCCTATGATAGACTCTGTGAAGAAATCAATAAACTTTGGCAAATTTGTGGAAAGTGAAATGTGTATTTGGGCTTGTATTAACTAACCTGCTTTAGCAGACGTCTTCTCTCGTCTTTGAACTTCGCCTCGCTGACTTTATGCGTCTCCACAAGCTCTGTTGCTGCCTCTACCCTAGACATCAGATCGGCTGATCTCTTCTCAGCACTCGTCTGCGCCTCTCTGAGTTTGCCTCTAAGCTCGTTTAAGTTGCTGATCAAGTCGGACCTCTCGGCTTTCCAGGCGTCTTCCCGTGTCAGCAGTGAAGTTTGCAGCGACTTGATGTTGGCCACCAGCTTGGACCGATCACTCTCCCAGGAGGCATCCCTGGCTTTCAGGCTGGACTTCAGCTTCTCCAGAGCCTCCTGCAGCTCGCCCCGCTCAGCCTTCCAGTCCTTCTCCCGACTGGCCAGCTTGCTCTTTAGCTCTCGCATCTCGTTGGCCAGCCGGGTGTTCTCCGTCCGCAACTCATCCTCGCCGTTGCGGGCGCTCTTGATCAGCTCGGCCTTCTCTTTGCTGCGCGAGTCCTCCTGCGCGCGGAGCTGCGCGTCTAGGGCGTGTATGGTGTTCCGGCTCTGCTCCAGCTCCTGCTCCATGAGCTCCACTTTGGCCTGCACCTCTTCCAGCTGCCGGGTCTTGCTGCGCAGCTCCAGGTCTTTCTCGTCCAGCTCCACCCGCCCCTCCGAGGCGCTGAGGCTGAGCTGCTGCTGGTGCGCCTCGGTGAGTTTGGACATTTCTGCCCGATAGGATGCCTGTAGGTGCTCCAGTCTGGTCTCCGCCTCCCGGAGCTTCTCCTCTCGTTCCTTCTCGTTGTCCTTCAGGGCTTTCATGTATGTTTCCAGCTCCACAGTCTGCTCCTGGAGGGTTTGCTTTTCGAGTTGAAACTGGCCGAATTCGTGCTGAAGCAAGCAAATAGGATGGACACAGAATGAAATGACACAAAAGCACAGGCTAAATTCTCAAGTGGAATATCACCGACTTGACCGAAAGAGAAATACGATATAGGCCCTAGATGACAGTCATTCAAGGAGGTTCTTAGGAATACACGTACATCACTTGGCTTATGTTAATACATGTCAGTCAAAACCCGGCTCAAGACTGACTACGCAGACTTGCACTTTCTCCTATAAGTGAACACTGAATCTCGGAAGTTAACGTTTGCCAGAACTTAATCTTGGAAAGGTTGATATGAACGTAAGACAAGTACCTGCCAAGGCCAAAAAAGAAGCAGTCCACGTGTCATAAATGCTTCTATTTAGAGTGGATATCAGCATAACCACATGAATGTCTTCGCTACAAAGGTCAACCGGAAAACTCTGAACAGTATTCGCTCTTGAGAACTGAATCATCCATTGCAGTTTAAACGCAACCTCTGAAAGTTTTGTGAACTGCCCGAAAGCTACATGAAGAGATAAGCTGTATGAAACGATCAACGTGACATAAAACAAGTGTTCGTGAAGTGCTTTGTGAAATGTAATGTCAAAAATACTTGAGGTTGTATTTTCTGTTTTGACAAAATATTATTTGTTCTTTGAAGAAATGCAACGTTAGGAAGTTAGTTTCACACCAGTCCTTTCCCATTTCCCACTCTTACACTACTTTACAAAGTGAAAACGCAAACGGACCCAAAGTAAGTCCGGGAATTGTTTTACAGCGGCTCAGAGTCCTTTCAACTTTTCACACATAAACCCTAAACAACCAGTTTAAATAAGACCAACCAAGAATGGGCCATTAGTTAGAAACTACGACAAACAGCATATGGTTTTTCGGCGTTTTACATTACTCCCATTACTTTTGTAGCAGAACGCTATCTGCTGTATTTTCTCAATGATCTCAAATAAGAGCATCCAGCGATTGGTTGAAAAGAGCTGCGTTGGTCGGAAGTGTTCAATTTCTTGGGCGGAGATGCAACCGTGACGCGTGCATTTCAGTCGTCGGGAACCAGCGAAGTTCAGTTCGGACCAGGGAGCCTCTTTTACTACGAAAATATCGCCCTCTCTTGGTCAAGCTCGAAGCCCATACCTGTATATCACTGAGCTTTCGGGCGTTCTCCTGTTGCTGGATGTCCTGTCTCGCCACTAGGTCGCTCTTCTCTCTTCCCCAGGCCTCGCGCTCTTTCTTCAGGCGGATGTCCAGTTCGGTCCGCTCCTGTTGGACAGCAGAGATCTTGCTGTGGAGCAGAGATCGTTCTTGGTTCAGGATGTCGTTGGACGCTTTTAGTTCCTCGGTCTGCGCTGTCATCTTAAACGAACAAGAAAAAACTCTGGCTAACAATCCCAGTTGAGGAATTCTCTTTCACATTCAAATACTTGAGTTATTATTTATTGGTACTTCTGTTCCACTGCCTTGTTAAATACAACATCAGTTTATCAAAATGACGGTTTTCTTGAACTTGCTCTTTTGCTTAGTCCCCGAGGTTCGAGAGACAAATACCAAATAGAATTCAGTCAGGTTACTCTCAAATCCAAAAGAGTGAAAACCTCACCCTCCAAAAGAGTACATACCACTCTAACAAGAGTGAAAACCACTCTAAAAGAGTGAAATTTTCACTCTGCCAAAAAGCTATGTATAAATGGACAACTCGAAAAAGAGTATGACTGGTCTTTTAGAGTGACTTTCACTCTTTTGGAGTGGATTTATGAGAGACTCACTCTTTTTGAGCGGGAATTTTTCACTTTTTTTCCTTCAGAGAATATTAAACAGCACTTCTTTGGCAAACCTACCACTTTCATCTTGGCCTGCATCTCTTCGGCCAGCTCCCTGTACTTCCAGCATTCACCGTCCAGGATTTCCACTTCCGTCTCCAACTTACTCAAGATTCGCTTGAGTTCAGCCTTTTCGGCATCCGGTCGTTCGGACGGTTGCGACTTGGACACCTGATCGGTGCAAACCAAGCGGAGTAAAAATACATGGATGTTTTACTCTGCACAGAAAACTCAAGTGGCTGACAAAGGACATTCCTCAATTTTTGCAGAGTTCTGTAAGCTTAAAAGAGGAAATATGCATCTTCAGTTATGAAACGCTCCCTATGAAACATGGTGACTTTTCTCAATTGGCGACGATGGATTATTTGGCATCACAGGGAATTACCAGCCGTAAAGCAGACACGAATAAAGCATATCCCTTGCGCTTGAGTGCAACAATACAATTTGCCTGATGACGTCACTCTGCATTACACAAAAGCCATTGTATCACTCATTGGCTTCGAGGATGATCCTTTGGCTTTTTTAAAAGAACGTCAGACAGACTTTGAGCAGCATCATGGACCCTCTGACGTTTTTTCTCACCGAAGCTTAATTAGCTATTGAGTTTATTTAAATAAAACGCAACTCCACTCCCAAGGGCAATTTCTCGATAAAAGATCATATTCTGCTATTGCTTACAGTCCCCAACTAGCGTATCGGAATACGTGCACGGTTTAAAAAAAAAAATTTGTTCACCTAATTACGACACCATGGCCAATATAACTTGCGTAATGGTGCTTCATTCAGTCTCGAAGCTAACGACCTGATGGCTGAAAAACTCTAACCCACACTACTGAACTACTCTTATTTTCCTCGACGCAATCAGTGTGAATTGGTCCAACCTGAATTCCAGTGACTGTCACTCAACAGAGCACCACGTCTTACATATTTCAGAACTCCATTACTGCGCAGGAAACCGAATACCTTAATAATATTGACTAGCCACTGAGTCATCATATCTTGTACCCGCGCGAAATGGTTTCGATTGGGGGCTGTGTCGAATGGGGTCGTGCAGCGGACGTGACGCGAACGCTACTTTCAACCGTATCGAGAAGTGTATAGCTTCCCCTGTCCCAATGGTATAGTCCGTTTCTTTCCTCCATTTTTGCTTTATAAATCAGTCCATCACATTTCGAAAAAAAAATATGACCTGGCCTTATCTGTGTCGGATGCAAAGTGTGGGGTCACAGAACAAAAACACTCATAAGATCGGCTACCAGGGGAAATAATGAAAAGGGGGTTGTGCGCACGCAGCATTTTTGCATTTCTTTTATCATAAGAATATTTACAATGTCTCTTCTTATACACTCATCTTCCATTTGTTTCCCGCTTGCTCGTACATTTCTATTGTCAGTGCATTTACTAAGCCCTGTGGGCTAGTGTAGATGAATACAAAATGACTGAGAGTAAATACACAGTAGTTTATTTCCTCCTGTCTGACTGACACACACTTTTTCATCTGTATCAGCTTTTCGTGCCAAGTAGGCCGGGGCCAGCGTTTCTCTCTTGGTAGTAAAGTGGGGGTAGATTAATTGGACGCTTCCCGGTTGACGACAAGACCTTGTCTGTCGGGTGTGATGTCTCATTACAAGTCTTCTGGGGCTCCAACTTAAAGTGACTATACTGACAACAACGGCCAGTCGGATATGTAAAACGTTTCCTGCTATGAAGCCACGGTGGAATTCGTCCGGCGCAGGGTATTCCCGCCTGGCCTTGTTGTTGACTTATTTAAAAGATATTACATCTTTGGGAAATAATTACGCGCGTAACATGAACCGTTAGCCTTGAATGATTCAGTCTGAAAACAAGGTAGGTGTCTAAAATTCAGAAGAGAAAAGTTGGGAAGAGTTTGATATTCTTTTTGCAAGGATACAGTAGCCCACAGATACACAAATAAAAGTGAAATTACGACAGTTCATAAAGTAATGAAACCAATGACTGAAGGTCACTAGGAGATTTCTACTTCCCTGGTGATGTCCCCGTTTGCTTTTAGAATCTGGATCCGGATCCCATATTTTGGTAAAATCTCATCGACATAAAAGTACAACTTGTTTCCAAGTGCAGGTCTGGATAAAAAGATGACATTGTTGCGTACACAATGAACAAAGCACCCTTTAGGTTTTACATTGGAATGAAAAGCAAGTTAGTATACCACACATTGCTAGAAAGCAATAATTAGCAGACGGTTATCAACACCCTGTTACCAATAGTAAGGCCAATGAACCATGAAAATGTGGCCTACTACCTCTTTTCCAGCCGTTGCAGTGGCCGCTACGTCAGGTCGCGTCTGCAACTCCTCCATCTTCCGTTTGAGCTCGTCCAGCCTCTTGGACAGTTCGGCCTTCTCCCTGCGCCAGGCCATCGTCTCCATCTTTTTCTGGAGGTCAGCGCTCTCCCGCTCGAAGACGGACCGCTTCTCGGCCCGGTCCTTCTCGTCCAAGGTCTGTGTTTGGGTTGGTGCGGCGGGTGGAGGGAGTGGTGTTCGTGGTGGTGGTGATGGTGGTGAGACAAGAGGGGTGGGGGAGGTGAATTTCTTAGCGTACTGTCAAAGTCGTTTTGATTTCGATTGGAGTTACCGACACGGGAGTTCACATGATGTTGACGAGTACACAAACGGTGACATGCACAGCATGCAATGAGCCAAACACGATAACATGGGGACAAAGTGGTGTGTCAAAGTGTGTGCGCAGAGTGTCGGATTGAGACATTCCAACACAAAACACATATTAGGATATCGCAAGACCACGGTGTTGGCAGAGTTTAAATGGAGTGTCGGGCCCAGTGTATTTTAAGGACATTTCCGAGAACCAGACGGCAAGGTAGTATTATGAAGTTATTCACAGGGTGCCGGCAAGGTGTATTTTTTACACCAAACAAAGGGACAGCAACAGGGGAGATCGTCCGTCCATTCAGTCCATGCAGGATCCATGGGGATGACGATCAAAGCGCCATGGAGCAGGCATCATGCGATGACAACAACACACAGGACAACACACGCAACAGGAGCACAGGACATCCCACGAGGGAGACGAGCACGTGGTAGCAGGTCCAACATTCGTCAGGTGCGAACGGTGACGTTGAGTGCCCGGAGATTGCACAGGGTTACGATCGTTGGATCAGTCCGGAAGTTTGAAACCCGGTGTTTAGAATCGGTCGTCGGAGAACATGCGTGTGAGTGGAGAAGAACATGAACAATCGTAAACTGGGGTTAGTGAAAGTTATCCAACAATTAAAGTAAAGGCGACTACATTATAAAATAAAAACAGACAAGACAACCATACTGACCCGAGGCAAGCGACTCATGTTAGTTGAAATCAAGCATGAATGTCTGGCAAGTGTAAAGGTAGGCACTGCAGGACAAATGCACAGGGCCTGGCCGCAGTGTGACACATAGCTGGAGATCTCCCAGCTCTTACCGAGTGCGGTGTGTTTGGAGACCTGGGGCCGGAAACAAGGCCTCGGGGCGAGTCATACTTTCTCCAAATTTAGAAAAAAAAATGTTTCTCGAAAAGGAAAAATGATTTTCGAAAAAAAATTATTACACACCCAAGCATGCGCGGATGACCTAACGCTGCTTAAAGCATTGTTCTGATTAACAGGAAAGTCAATCATTAATGTGGTTCTTACGCCTGATGACCGAACATAAATTACATGTACAAAACTCTCAGGGTATGCACACAGATAGGTAGAATTCAGAGTTTAGGCCAAGTTGGGGAAGTGAGAAAGATAGCAAGGCGAAAAGCATGCTAAGCAAATTTGATGCAACATAATTACAGTGCCGCATATTCGCGCGGTTCAGTGAATAGGTCTAAGAATAAGTATCCCTTGATCACAAATTAGTCGATGTTGATCCACAACTAAGATGAGTTAAGAGGAAAACAGATAATCATTTAAAAAACATGTTATGTGAGATGTACGGACCCAAGCCGGTTAAGTCAGCCCTGGTTGCTTAATTAAGCACAGTTATTGCTGCAACAAGAAAGTATTAACTCAAAAACAACTTCCGAAAGAAGTAATTTCACGTAGTAAAACAATTCTAATGTTATATGCAAAAGAATAGACACAATGCTGTAGTCCTACAAATCAATTTCCATCATTGCCGGACAGGTTTTGATCTTTCGACATTTAACCACGATAATTTGAATACAGACACTAGACTTTCACAACTCATCCACAGGCAACAGGACTTTTTTCAACCGTGCCAAAATCTGGGCCCACACGGTGAAGGCCCCCCGACCGTACACATTCTGTCCGTCTTACTTGCTTGACACGAGATGCTGGAGCTATTTTAAGAATGAGCCCCGTCAGAAAGAGGATGTCTTGAGCGGAACTCCTCATTTAGTCTGCAGGACAACTAGGATGGATTGCATCTGAGATAATGCGCTGAAGGGGCCGTCGGGGAGCCCAATTGCCAATTTTGGTATTTTTAGTATAAGACACGCTGCATCACGTTCAGAAGTCGGACAACTTTCATTCTTTACACGTACAAACCGTTGAGAGCCGTTAAAAATCTGAAGAGGTTTCTTCATTTTCGTTGTATGTAAAATGTAGCATGGAGACGGTGGGTCCTGCGTAGCAAGTACATGTACTTTCTAAGACAGACAACCCGATTGCAAACTTGGATCTAGCTAGCCGCCTGGTATTTCAAGATAAGTGGAAGCAATGTTGGATGAACAATCAGTTCTTGGTGCAAGTTATCAGATTATAATTCTGCAACTTGAAACTTTTTTCTTTTGAAAGCAGCTCCTATTTCCCCCCCCCACTAACCTCAGCCAAGCGGCGTTCCATCTCTTCCTTCTCTTGGGCGAAGCGTTCCTTCTCCCGTGCTAGCTCAGTCGTCAGGTCATCAATCGCTAGATGGCACTCCGTCAACTACATTATTATCAAAACGTAATAAAGCATTCAGCACATCCACACCAAGGTGAAACATCACGCTTACAGGGACCAAAGCAAGAGAAAAAAAACACCTTCCTGAAAAACTAAATCAGCCACTTCGTATTAAATTGAGCGAAGCGGGACACACAATCGTGTTTAATTCCACGCGTGACGTGGCTCACGTGGTTTTAATACAGATTGGAGTGATCGTGTGAAATGGCGCAGGTTTGACGAACTTGGTATCGCTATGTGTTACCACACTGGGAAAACACACAAAAAAGGTCTTACATTCTTACCGGACTCAAAATCGACAATGCATCATATCTTCGGAGGGATGAGTGCTCAGATTTTGCGCAGCTTACTTACACAATAACGACGAACGGCAGGTTGCGCTAGTCATGCTAGTCGGCACTTCCGAGAGATAAAGCTCGACACAAACTGCACATGCTTGGATTGTGTAAACTATTATCGTAAAACAACCGTGCGGGGAAAAGAGCGCCAACTGCAAGGATATTGAATAATTTGGGCTTTGGTGATGGAATGAACGATTAAGCCAAGTCGTCGGGAGCACAAAAACAACACGTTGGCGGATTTTTCATGAACAGTCTGCTTATTTCCTCAACGGAAGACTTGAAAAACAAGCACGTCACGTTTAACAAACGACTCTCCATTTGTAAAAGCAGGAGCTTGATAGTCATCAACGGCAAAGTTCACTAGATTCAAATTGAATTGGATTTCTCGTGCTGAACATGTTTCTGAGACCTGTTCACAAGCCCCGGGGTTCATGAAATGGTTATCTTGTCCTCGATGTACGCTAGAAACAAACGCAATGCTAAATTAAGACTGTTTTTCATTTTTATATCAAACGCATCCATCTAATTTCCACAAATCACAGGAACCAAACTCAGCGGAGTAATTTTTGTACTGAGGAGAGACACAGCAAAGTATCCAGGAGCAATGTTTTTTCGGCCAAGAATTAACACAATGACGACCTTGTATCCGTTCTACGTCAACGATGCACGTAGATCAGCTGGGTCTCATTTATACAAAGGCGTGGTCACCGCTAACCAAGCCGAAGCATTGGTCTGTTATCAGAAGCCACGACGCTGTTGAAGCGCGTACAGACAGGAAAGACTATCAAGGTTCTTCGCATTAATTTCACTGGTAATGTGAAGAAATCACAAACATTTGATGAGCTGTTCATTTGCAGACCAATGATTCTGATGACGTCACGTAACAACAACGGTTCACCTTTCCATGCAAGGAACGCTATACTTACCGTCTCCTGTGTCACACGTAAAAACGAGTGGTTGCCTTAAGCAATCATTTAGCGTCAATTTACAGACCGATAGATGGAGCCCAAGTCATTATGCATACAGAAACTAGCAATCAAACAAGTCGAAGTGTGCGATGGCCAATCGAGCCAACAGTCTGGTGACCTTTACCTCCGGCACATGTTGTATAGCTAAGCATAAAATAGGGTATGGCGTAGACGGCGTCTTGGTACAAAACAAGGGAGAGTCACACACCTTTTATCCAAAGATCTAACCAGAAAATGGAGAGCTGATGTTCAGGAAGCAAATTCAACGCAACTGGTATAGACGCTGAATAATACTTAATGCAAGAACTGAGTACGAGCACCAACTCTTGCATGCGACTGTACAAACCGAGAAAGGCGTCTCGATGTCATGCATAGCGGTATCGCATTCGTAAAACAGCAAATTCCACAAGCACCGCCAGACGAAATATTCGTGTAGTGTAATTACCCCCTACGTCTCTGCAAAGTTCAACGGTTAGTGCACTTGGGAGGGCGACCAGCAGTAAAAGGCGTTTTGATGACAAGACGATGATACACCTCTCTGTACAGTTTTGGAGAGGTTTTGATTTCTCAGTTTTTAGCCTACTTAAACCAATACCTCAGAAAATCTTCTCATTCAAAGATTTGATATTTGGTTATCATCATATGCTTTCTTCTTGGTTACTTAAAACTTCAACAAAATGAAAGGATCAATTGTAGGTAGAATTTATGCAAATTGGACAAATTTTAAATTATGAAGTACAAAATGGCCAGATTTAAGGTACAAACACTGCTGTATAGATATAGAGAATGAAAGATGTTTTATCAATCAAACTTGAATGGACCAAGCTCGAGGTAGGAGAATCTAAGATTATTTTCAAGCAATCGAGATCGTTAGGCCTTGTGTTTAACAAAATATTAAATACCACAATAATTACACCCGTCGACGCATGCCGGTATTAAGCAGTGAAGCAATTTGGGAGAACTCTTCAATTTCGCTACATTTACGAATGGTTACTGACGATGGTCTCTTTATAACTCGCTGGCTCTGCGGATCGAAGTGCGATTGAGCAAGCTGATCACGCGCGGCAGGGGGCGGCCGCCTGACATTTGGCAATCAGTCTCTATAAACGGACCGCGTGTTCCAAAGACCCGTATCGATATCGGGGCTAGCCCACAGGAAACAGCGAGCGGGCACGATTCTACACTTTCGGACTAGGGTATACGATTTCCCCCTTCACGGCACGTTGAGCAGCATCGCGAGTGCAGGAGCCACATCTTCAAGTTTCTTCAATTATCGGGCGTGACGAGGTGCCGGCAAATGTTCAGTCTGTGCGACAGCCAGCCAGAATGACAAGGCCCTTTCTGAGACGTATCTGTGACAGGTTCACGCCGGACACACTCCTTGTTAACAACCGAAGAGTGAAGATCGTTTTTATTTTTGCCGATCAAATCGTGAAAAGCAACACCCTCAATATCGAAATGACTGAAAAGAACTTTACAAGGCACTTGTGCATAGGCTCTCCTAAATTTAGCTCAAGAATTTTGTCCGTATCCCCCCGAAAATCAAAACTACAGGTTGCCACACTCGATATTCTTACAATGATCAACAGTTCAGGATAACAACACTGCTGAAAGTAACCAAAAAGATCCCCAAAACTAAGGAAGATTTCATAATAAAATAGCAAGACGTAGCGTGCCACTCTCTGTTGTTCCTTCGGATCTTCCTCTATACCTACAGTCAAGAAAGGCATCTTTACAGTCACTTTAACTTTGTATTTACATGTAATCATATACTTTCCCAAGTGAAACTAATAGGCCCTCCTATACCATGCAAAGACAACAAACAGAACCATTAATACCAAGTGCATTGGTTTCTTGAAACTGTTGCCACCTGTCACATGTACTTATTGATACACTTGGCCGTTATATGATTCGACAGTTATAACAAGGTCACATCCCTTTGCCAGGAATACAAAGTTAGCCTACAGCAACGTGAGTAAAATTTGGCATAAGATTCCAATGTGTTAGCAATCTGTAAATTATCTGGAAAGAATAGAGAGTTATTCGAGATTTTTAGACCTGCGGGTACTTTTTCAGAAAGCGTAATGCAAAATTCAATAGACATGTTTAGAATTCCATAGAGATGTTCCGAAATATTGTAAGCTTTTTCATTCTCAACACAGCTTACATTCGCGCCCCGTGATTCTCTGTAACCAGGAAAGGGTAGTCTACAAACTATGAAGGCCGTACAAATTGATATTCAGAAGCGTCTTGCCAGTCTTCGTGTAAGAAGACGTGACACTGACCATGTCCACATGCAAACCGCTTTAATGTCTGGTTTGGGAAGGATTTACTGATTAGTTTGGGAAGGATTTAAAGTCTTATTTCTGTATACATATATGCTCTTCCGGCTGATGGAATTTTAGAGCCTGTTGGCTACGGTAAAATGTAGCAAACGTTCTCGTTTCTACAGAAACAAAAATATGGCCACAGCTGCAACGAGAGAAGATTGAAAGGGTGTGAGCAATTGACCAAGGTTTTCACGATTAAAGGCGGGTTCATAGTTCAGGAATGCAAAAACGAAGCGAATTTGACATCGTGACAATTTGTAGGAAAATTTCACTGAGTTGAAATGTGTTCAACTTTGGCAAATTCGCAGCGCGAATATTTGATCTAGCGTCACAATGTCGCGTTTGTGTTCGCTTTCGGTCCAAGTACGGAATGAACCAACGGTCAGTCATCAGCCACATTGTCGGTTGACGCCTTTCAGATTCTGTGCGGTGACAAAATAATATGTAACTATAACGCTTAAGATTGGAGATTGACATGAACTCTACTTGAAAGAACGAGGCAAACTAAATTGACCAAAGGAGCTCAAATAGTATGGAAGCGATCAATCTTCCCACGTCCAAAAGATCAAAAGAAAAACAAAGAAACTGATTAGTAGGCTTAAATCGAGATTTCACGATCTCATCATGAGAAAGTTTGCTACTGAGCATGGTATTGGTTAGCACTTGGTACAGAAACGTGTTGGAGCTGGCAATCCAATTACGCCATAGGATGTCATAAAGATTAGGGGCTGACTCATTCTCCCTAAAATAAGCTAACTCGAGCCTCTCGGCCCGCTGATCTAGATTGGCAGGGAAACCGGTCTTGTAGATATTAACCCGACACCAAGAGTAGGCCTTGAATTTGCTTTAACGTAATATAATATCAGTAATGTGCAACCATTTCTTTGGCTCTTGAGGGCGTTCGTGGGGTGGAAATCACGTAAGACTACGTGTCATCGCTTAACAACATTCTTTTTCATTAAGTCAGAATTGTGGTCTAATTTATCACATGGACGGGTCTATCACAAGTGAAATCATGAGTGATAAAGGATGGACCATGGCAAAAGATTACCTCCACCACAGTTCACGTATTTAGCTTTAAGCTTGCCTGAGTGTGTCCTGACCTGTCAGGACTTGGGAGGATCTCTGAATGAATTAAATGCAACGCCTAGAAAGTCGATACCAGTTTTGGTGGACAGCTTGTTTAGACAAGTTTTCGGAGCAACTGGTGGCACTTTAAGATCGACGTTTCGCTGAAAGAAATCACTTCAAATTCAGTACAAAAAAATCGATACGGTTCTCTTCACATTCAAGGCATTAAAAATTCATGAAACGCTTTCAAACTTGCGTCATCAATGTTAATACCTGAAACTGTGAGACGTTCTGATTACAACGTAAGAAACAACGTGACTGACATGTCCACGCAACTCCAGACGGCTACAATATTGTAATGTCAAGATCACCGTGGAGCATCAAAATGTACAGTTACTAAAATTAAGCTGTCCATGACATTCCTAACACAGCGACAGGACCAAGAACTACTTAGAAAATGAAGCCATAGACATTAAGGTGAATTCTGGTTACACCTACACATGCAGATTAACTCTTCCTTCCTGGGAAACTGGTACATCAGATGATTTGAGATTGAAACATAAATAAGGTACAATTTATTTCCCAAAACTGTCCCTAGGATGCTTGAAAAGTTGGAGCATTTTCGCTGAACCGTGGCAGTCACAGTGATGTATTTCATCGTAGGGTGATTTGAAATCGTTGATATCGGAAACCTAAGCATTTATTGTTTACAGCCCTGATCCTGATAATAAATAGCGTAACAGTTTTAACTCTGACCTCGAATCGGAGCAGTTCTTTCTCACGCTCCCTGTAGGCGGCATCTTCAGACTGGCTAACCTGAAGCCCGCCCTCATCGTCGACCCCGGAGGATGACCCCCCGTTCAGCATCTCGGCCTTCTTCTCGGCAACGCGGCATCTCTGTCTCTCCTCGGCAAGCTGCGTCTCCAGGGCGGAGATGCGGTCCTTGAGACACTTCTGGAGGGACAATGTGGAAACACACTCAGTGCCTGGTTACCAGAGTTGGTCATTTCGAAACAAAGCTCCCTGGACAGGCAGGGAAGGGATGGACGGATGACTAAAAAAGATGGATGATTGAAGAGGGTTTAGAGCCAGGCCTGATACCTGTAATAACTCTCAGACGGGTAGCTATGGGAGTCGACAACCTGAACAGGTACCACCGATGGTGCATTGTGTCACCACGCTCCAGAGGGGCAAGCCCGGTGCACGTCCCCTGATTTTTTTCCCCCAATATTTAGGAGGATACCTCGTCTCTTTTTTATTCCTTCATGGTTCTCAACCGGAAGGTTAATCGCCAAAAGACAGACATTCTGACCGGGTAAGAAAAAAATAGACCCCGCTCGTATGCTCGGCTTGGCTTCCATTCAGGAGCACCCCCTTTCCGCAAATGCTAGATCTTCATTATGCTGATAGCCTGGTAGTATTCCTAAAAGTCCGGGGAATTTAATGAAGGAGGGGATCACTTCCTTTCAGTACCGGCCAGAATAGGATACAGGCTAACGTTTGCTCAGATGGAGTCTTTATAATTTCCTTTTTAAATTGGTTTACAAGAAAAACGAAGCTTCAGATGCCTACACACTGAACAACTGAATCTTTGGAAAGTGGCAGGAAGAGGATATTGTCTAATTTATTACGCTGGAACGGAAACAAAGCTAACAAGCTAGGAAATCACTCATTATTATTCGAATGATGCAGTCACAGTTCCTTGAATGACAGCGAAATAACGCACGCCAAATTGGCTGAAATCGACTAAGACACAGAGGGCGGTAGACAAACTGATAAATTTTTATCCGACACGATGTTCTACCATCACTTCTTTTCTTCGGTTGAACAAATTCGGTTCTGGGCACAGAAACGAAGCTTGGGATTAGATAATAGCGTACTTAAGAACCCCCCCTTATTTTTTTATCTTTTCTATATTTTTTTATCCCAACATCTTAAAACTGAGGGCGCTGTTTGAAACTGACTGCGGTGACAGGTCAGAATGCATTCTGACACGTGTTGCCAAGCGCCTGATGTCGTATACAGGCAACCCTTAGTTTGAGTACCCAAAGCAAGTTTAGATCTGTTGTACCATCAGCAGTTTTGTCTGCAACCCATGGGAGGGCACATTTCCAAGGTATAATGATGCAGGCCAGTAAATAGGCCGAAAGCTGCTTGCGCGGTCCAATCACAATTTGTATTATGCACTCAAATTCTCTACGAAATAGAGCATTTTGTGGCCCAAGAACTTGAGGATTTGTAGAAAAGACAGGTTGAGGCGGGCAAAGAGAATAACACCCTGCGTCTGAGTGAGATTTGGAAGCAATCAGTGCCCGAAAAGGGATTTTTTTTTTAGAAGTGTAGGCATCGATATTTCAAAATGGCAAGGGGGTTCACGGATGAATTTTAGGGGTGACCTTCCGTGGAAATGAATCATCGGTTAATGAATCGAAATTTGCAAAGAAAGAAAAAAAATCATAAACTTGGCTTTAATTTGATGTGCGTCTCGAACGTTTATCACTGTCGGCTGTGGCAGTTTATTTACTGGCCTGCAAACCTATATAGACTTCTCCACATGTGCGCCCTCTGTTATAAGCCACATACAATGCTCCACGAGCGGACGGTTAACCGAAACTGGTCTCAAAAAAAGACTTGCTATGTATATGCGTGGTAGCCATCTTGCAGGGCGGTTCTTTTGTTCCACAGGGAAACGCTCCCATTCGAAGATTTCACGTCTTGGTCCCACATCCGAAACATATGAACATTGGATGATAACAGGAAGGGCATGCACTTTGGAAATTCTGTTTCTCATTTCAACCGGGCCTATTTTGGCGTTCATGAGACCTAAACCTACGCCCTCACAGAGAACAAACTGAAAAGACCTTTACTCATGAAAACGATGAGTCACCAAAACGCTCAAAATTAAAACCAACAATAACCCGAACAGTTGTTACTTAAGCTGACAAAATACACCCATGGTTAGGTACGGCATCGGGCGACTTCTTTAATAGTCTGAAATAGACTTCGTTGGGGGACAAACCCACCTCATAATTCACTCGCACTTCAGTTTTAACCTCCTGCTCGGCAAACACGTCATCTGAGGCCACCTCGCTCCTTGCAACCGCTGGTTTTTCCCCTGCCACCATGCCTGCCTGCGGCCCGTCTCCGCCCGGCTCGGCCAGGGCACAGGCGCGCTTAAGCTCCTCCTCCAGTCTCTCCGAACGCTCCTCAGAGATGCTGAGGCGCTGCTCCAAGATGTCCTTGTCGGTGGTGAGGCTGCCGAGGCGCTGCTTGAGGGTCTCCTTGAGGCTGGCATTGTCGGTGCGGAGCTGCTCGGCCTCTTGGCGCACCTGGACTAGCTCCTTCTCCTGCTGTTCCTGGGTCACCTCTTTGCTCTTGATGACAAGTAAAAGGTCCCCTAAAATGTAAAAGAAATACTTATTTTACACATATTTACCCATTCAAAAAAAAAAGAGTCGTCAAGAACTTGTTACCACTGCTGTAGAACAGGCTGCTATGGTCAGACTTTGGGCAACCAAACAGCAAAAGGTGTCCAAAATTGGACAAAGCGATGGACTGCCAATGTTCCAAACGTTGTTCACAGCTTGTTTCCTGATAAAACTAATGCATTGTTTGATTAGGTACAACTCCAGAGTTATGCTCATATTAATCAATAACGACGGGCACCATATGGTGCTCTCCAACTACAAAGCGCGCTTACATGTAACAGTCATGCATAACTTTCATAAGCGATCTTCAAGCTGTAAGTCCAGACGGAACAAACATTTTCACTACCGATTCTCCCAGCAGGGAAGTGTGGCTTTTCAGCATGCCAATGCATGACCAGCAACATCTTCAGCAGATCAATATTACCACCGACATCGACGGCTGCTGCATGCAAGCAGTGAAGTCGAATTAAACTTATGGGGTATGAAGGTTGACCGAGGGCGGTAACAGTGGATCGTCGAAGTAGAACAGACGTAGTGTCGTTAGAACTGCAGATAAGCACTATCATTATCAGTAACACATGAAACGATAGGGAGTGTATGGAATATTTCTGGCATTCTCGAGGAGCTGCCTTTATTTCCCCCGGCCACGGGTAATTACGACACACATTGCAGCAATTAGGCTTCCAACCCCCCCCCGCAGCTCTGATACCCTATCCGAAATGCTAGCTGATTACGGGGTCTGCGTTGGGCCTGTGACGTCAGCCGCGTTGCATGACGGGATATTATCTTGAAAATGGACGTGACAGGTTCTCCTCGGGGAGAGGGGAGCTGACTAGAATATTTCGTGTGAGGGCGTGCTTTATCGAATACTGAGTTGAGCCGGCAAGGTTGTGACTCATAATGTAAGGGGCCTGGCCAGACTGCTTATCAGATATTCAACCACATTTTAGTATCCATTCAGAAGTATCGATATCTCTGTGGTTCCACTGTGTGTCCTTGCACTTTGCTCCATAACTCCGTTCAATAAACAGATACGTGTCTCTTTTTCAATTTAAAAAGCCCTGCTTGATTCTATGTGCTTTTCCCTCATTTTGGCAAGGTTAATAATAATGATTTTCGAACATAAACCCCTGAGAGAAACCTTTCAAACTGTCATACAGAAATAATCACAGCTGCTTTTATTGCAATCAGAAAACTATAGAAAAAAGTACAAAAGTACAAGTGCCAGAACGTGTGTGAGAATAAGGGGACAGTAGTCAGTGAAATAGCTAAATGTCACAGCAAAACATTTCGAAAACATTATTCCACTTTTACCTTTCATCTCTTATTAATTTACAAGGACGGTCGATTTTTCATTGCTGAATGTCAGCATTGGAAAGCTATTAAAGGTCACTTGAAATAAACGAAGTTCCCCTCAAGTTTTCCAAGTCAAAATTTTATGTGCCTCAAATTATCTGCACATGCATGCACACAACACACGCAGCCAATCTCAAAACGGGAAATGGAAATCAAGTTGATAGGTCACTCGCACTTTTTGGCTTGCACTTTTGCTTGGCTTTTTTTCGTACTTCAGTTTTTCTCCCTTTGGACAAGCAGCACTGTCACAAACAAAGTGCTGGGAATATGGAGAAATTTTGTTGTTGTTGTTGTTGTTGTTGTTGTTGTTGTTGTTGTTGTTGTTGTTGTTGTTGTTGTTGTTGTTGTTGTTGATGTAATAGGTGTATACGGCTCATATTGTGCGCAGCAGCTAGAGCGAAAGCGAATGATATCATGGTGCTTGGAAATTATGCATGGAATAACTATATAAACGCTTTAAATTATTTTGTCTGATTGGGGGAGGGCATTTTCTGATCTCGTTGTCGTCTCCAGCTTGTCAAGTTTAATACTTGGAGACAAGACTTCAAGGCTAAGGGATCAACGCAGCTGCATTCTATGCTCAGCCTCCAGAAACATACAGTTTTCTTATAAATGAAGCAAAAGTGTTTAGTATTATGTATTTTTATTTGTGTCCAACGGCAAACATTCGAAAGTGACTGCAAAACTCGAGATGAAACCAAAATTGGAAATGAAGTCAACATTAAAAAAAAATGAAAGGCGAGCCCAGAGACATCAAGATTTTCTATGTACCTAGGTAGCCTCTGTACGGTGGCTCTAAAAATAAAGTCATGACTGAAGCCTGGTAGGAGGTTGACAAATATTGTTTTGTCCAAAATTAAGCCATAGCAGCGCCGCAAGGCAGGAAACCGGCATTAATGGTGTGACGGATTCATATGCAATTACAAAGCCAACCCACTGATTTGTAACACCAACTGGCAAGATTCATTCCACCAATTGTGTCCTTCCGATAAGAAGGGGGGGGTTTGCCCTGTTACCAAGTTCCTTGGAAGGCAATGTCTGATAACACCTCAAGATGGGGTCACAGATCTTGGATTTGGGTCAATATCGAGACAACACCTTCCAGATATAGCTATGAAGATGTCACAAAAACGTTTGTGGGCGAACAAAAAGAGTGACTAATTGACCAATTCAAACTAAAAATAGGCAGAGAATCGCACGCGTAGAGTGGAGAGCATTCAAATAACATATCGCCACAAGAACAAAAACAACACAAGTCTGAAAAGTATTAGGGTCGAAAGAAAAAAAGGTCAGTCTAATGAATGAATGGAATACAATATTGGCATTCCATGTAGTATTAACACGCAAAAATCACGTTAACTCCTTGTAATACTCTGTAAGTCATCCATGCAATCCTTTAAACATCTCTGCAATTAATTCAGGTATAGCTTGGTTAAGATTTTTGCCATATAATCATGAAGATAATTTTGCATCTTTTTCTTGAGCAGTTCAAGGTCAATTGGACATTCTCGGTGACTATTACATCACTAAATATCTCCATTACTGGAACGTGTGCACAAAAGAAAAAATTCCCTATCGAAAAATGCTGGCTGCTTTGCCACATGGAAACTCTCCATAAGACATAAAAGAATGATTCAAAAGCTTTCAAACCCCTAGAGAAAAAGCTAACATTGCTTTCGAGTCAGGTGGCCAGCCTCAAAAACAATTTGGCACTGAACACGGGAATCGTTCCACATCAGTCACTCTTCCGAAATTTTCAAACTATTTCTAAATTCAGAAAGCACCAAAATGAAGTCACGTAAAGGTTTACACACCTAGCTCCTCTTGTAGCGTCCCGATCTGACTTTGTAAGCTCTGCAGACGTTCATTGTCCTCTGACGTCGTAGATGACGTCGACTCCTGCCTGATCACCGGCTCAGGCTTCCGTTCCTTCTCCGTAGCCGCCAAGGCCTTCTCAGCCGACACTTTCTCCGTCAGTGCCCTTTCTGCGGCCTCCTCTAGCCGCTCAGTAAGCTCCTCCAGCCCTACGATCTTCCTTCTCATGGAGTCCGCCTCGGTTTTCAGCAAAGCGATCTGCGACCGCAGTTTGTGCTCGACACCTTTGACCTTGCCCTTCCCAGGCTCCTTGGCGGTGGCGATCTCACTGAGCTTGCGCAGGCTCTCGGTTTCCAGCTGCAGGCTTCTGTTCTCGAATTCGGCCTCCACTAGGCGCCGTTTGAGGGATGCTATCACCGTCTCGGCTTTCATTCGTTGGGCCCGGCGCTCCTCTGAATCTTCCGCGGCTCCTCGGTTGGCATCATCCGGCTGAGGGTACAAGGCGTTGAGCTCCTCAAAGGTCTCCAGTTTGACGCGGAGGGCCTCGTTCTCCCGGAGCACGTCCTCCAGCTGCCGCTGGAGGGCGCTAGACTCGGCGGCTATTTCCTGGGCACTGTCACTGGATTTCTCATCACCTCCCGTCGAAGCTCTTGTTTTGCCTGTAGAAAGACAAAAAAGAATAAATAAAATATAGTAAAACAAAGGCAATCCTTTCAACGAGTGTCCCCACTTTGATACTTCTACTTGTTAAAGAGTCCCAACACTACCTGCAGTGGAAACATTCTCCAACAAAGTATATATTTATTTGAATGGCAGAAATTGAATTGAAATTGTTATGCTCAAATGCAAACAAAGGTACTTCAAGAACATTTTAGGGAAAGATCATTAGATGCCTTATAATTCCTTGATAAAGAGAATGAACTAAGGAACACCTTGACCATTTATCACACAACTGGGCAAATCCATTACTTTGTTGCGAGGCATGCATTAAACGCAGACTACGAAAATCCGTCTGCACCTTTAAGATAAACCTGCTTCACTTGACCCAGTTTCCTCGGGCTTCAATGATCAGGTTTTTTGAAATGATAGCCCTGAATCCGTCAATGCAGGGACCCTGGCTGAGAGGAAGGGGCTCGTTAAACCGGGCGAGGGTATAACGTGAATCAGAGGAAACGACCGCACAGCGTGCATAAGCAGCCAGTCCTCGTCGAGCGGGGGGACTGGGCAAAACGGATAGTTGGTCCGTCACATTTAGGCCTAGGCCTCGCTGTGGATCGACCATTCGCAGATTGACCGCATGCATACTATCGTGGGCAGTGTGCTCCAGACACTCTAGAAATCGTGGTTTTAAAACGAGTGTTAAATGAACACCCTCGGTTTCCATATAGGTGGTGTTGTCCTGCATGGATGCTGACGGTGTTAAATATGTTTTAGAGCTTTTGCACTGCACCGATATCAGACTAGCAGGACTAATGTTGGCGACTGGCTTTATTCCAAGGCAAAGCAGCTGAAAATCAACCTTGATTAATCCAGGGACATTTTAGGACTACAGATTTGCCTGTCAGTTCCATGAAGCCCGAGACAGCCGATGGCCAATGACAGAAAAAAATGAAGCTCCACAGTGGTGTGACATCGCATTTTTTAGGAATGTGAGGACGATAGTGTTGATTTAAGTATCGATTCCTCCAGGTCGAGGATGGCTTTCATTCGATTCCGGTCATGCACTCGGACTCGTCACTTATCACAACTCAAGCCAAGACTGTCCCATCGATAACAGATAATAACGATGGTGATTTATTTTCACAAAATTCCCCTACAAAACCATTGAGGCACCTTTCCAAATGTGCGTCAACACTTGCACCAAGCGTTGTGTATCCAATGAAATCGCTTCTGGGGCGATTTTGATGGCCAAACGCAACGCACTCGTTTGTTTAATATGTTAATAGGTCGATTTTTGTGTCCATGAAAGTGAAACACATGAACGAATCGCAACGCAACAACCCCCCCCCCAAAAAAAAGTACATATGGAAAGGCGCCTGTAATGTGATGTTATAATTTTATGTTTTTGTACTTTCTTGCTTTAAGTTGGTCAACTTAGAAGCAAACCTCGATAAATCAGGGCACACTTACCAAGAACTTTGAATGAAATTAGCAAAGTGAATAAAAGTATTCTTGAAGGAACTTAATAGTAGACAACATAAGGACGTTTAGTTCTCCATCGTGGAGGCGTAGCTTTTTTCCATCCACGGAATCTATTTCCAAGGTTATTCGGGCGAGTTTGAATATAAGCCGGTAACAAATCCCACTTGCAGACTAGGCCTAATACCACCAAGATCTTGAGTCTGATGTTTGAAACAGAGCCAGATTTTCATCTAACTACCCAGACAGACATGCCTTGGGTTACGCGATAAAGCGGGCCCATGGGTCCGTCCCCAAAAGTGAACCACGTGGGTTTATGATGACTGTATGTTTGACATACACATACAAAATTCACATAAGATTGAAAGAGACTTGTAAAATGTCCTGGACAAGTCTTCGTGCAAATGATTTCCTTGGGATGTTACATAATCAACAAGAGTTGCGTTTGTATAATACGGACGAGCATTGCTCCGCTTGCAGAAAGGTACAAAGATGAGAACTTTCTTTTCCAGTACTGCAATACCGTCTGATGTTACAGTGATCATTCAGGTTTTGGTTAAAGTTTGCGTTACGTGAAATGCGCTTTGTCTATACTATGGACGACAGAGTTTATCGACTGTAGAACTTTTGCCAAATATCGTATATATATCAAATATTAACTGCCAATAAGCTGTTGGGCAAATTCGTCTTTTTCTTTTTTTCACTCGGACAATAAGCTAGCACCTTTAAGTAGTCCAAAGACTCTACAAATTTTTGGTATAAACGAAACCCCCAGCTCAGTTGCACCAACATTTTGGACAATGTGGCTTGTGACCTTTTATGACGGTGTGGTCAGTGTGGTCAATAAAGGTATTGTGCAAGCAGTCTTACGCGTTGATGCTGGTCGACATCTTAAGCTGTAAAACATGGATATTAAATCATTGCAAGAGTGGATCAAATCGGCCCAAGCAACAGCATTAAGCAGAACGCTAAACATCCTTTAACCTTTAAACAGGGATCTAATAATGAGATAAATCTATGACATCCATTTAATTCATGAAATTGACTGACAGTGCTTGTGTTTGAGCTTGTCTGAGTTTGCCTTCTTGCAGATCACGTGTGCGCATGGATGATGACTCTTGTATGTCTGCCACGATCGAAGCCTGCTATTTTGATATTTTTATCAAGTGTGGATTAAATGTGTGGGACACGATCACCGTCATACCTGATGGCTCATCACCGGCAGACTGCAAGGACCTCCTTTGCCGCTCGAGGGCGCACTCCAGCTCCTCATTGGCCATCTCCAGCTCCCTCATCTTCCTGCGCATGACCGTTGCCTCCTGCTCCACCAACATCAGCTGCAGTCGTAGCTCTGCCTCTTTCTCCGTGGACGCCCCGCGGCCGTTCTCCGGTTTCTTTGGTTCGTCTAAGGTTCCAAATCTCATCTTGAATCTGAAAAAAAAGCAAAATTGGAAAAGTTTTGGTAGCTACAGTTGCAGGTTTTCTTGTCCTCATGTTTTTCGACGCATGCCTGGCAATGTTAAATTTCCCTTTTTCTCGGACCATTTCCCTGCAATCGACTTCTTTGGCGCCATCGAAATAGCAATTACCAAGATAAATGTATTAAGCTGGACAACCACGATAAAATATACATCAAAACGCTTATTTTACACGGTCGTTCTCCAGTTGCTGCAAATGAAGAACCAACGGCTGATAAGATACCTGGAAATTTGACATGGTCCTTGCTTCCAACTTCCTTTTACTTGACCCTTTCAGTGAAGATGTTCATTTTCATTACAATACTCCTCTCATAAAATGTTCCCCTTCTTAACGTCTTTCATAAAAATCCCTTTGTCCCTACAGCAGGATTTCTCCAATATTGAACAGCTTGGGATCAGTTGATCTATGTCAAAAGACCGTCCATCTAATGTGTTTCGCACGTCATGGACTTGCCATTTTTTATTCAAAATCCAACTAACTGACCTGAATCCGACTCATGTGAGACTAGCAACTTGCAGGAATCTTAAATTCTGATGGCTCCTGTTTCTCCAAAGCCAACATTCTTTACATGAGTTTAACGCGCATTACTTTTCCCTTTTTAACGCAAACCACACGCTTCCATCATTTACCTCTCTAATTCGAAGTCTAGCGCCTCCTTCTCCTGCTCCACCAGGGCCAAGTTTTTGCGAACAGCGTTAGCCTCTTCCTCCAGCAGCTGCAACTGGTGCTGCAGGTCGCGCTCCCGCTCCGTGGACTCCTGCAAGTCGTTCAGCAGCGCCGCCACGTCGATATCACTGTCCGAGTCCGACGACGTTGAGGCACGCAGGACCTCGATCTGCGTTGGGAAAGAGGTTGTTGGTATTCAATGGTGATTCCAGAGGAGATCAAAATAGAACCCACTTTGATTGACGTTGGACACTCTTTTCGAAACTTCTGCCTTTCTCAGTCAGTTCCCAGTCGAAATAAAAATAGTATTTTCATGCCAGTACTTATTATCATCAATGGTGAACTCGATGAAAGATTTGATTTTGGAAGAGCTCCATTTTCAACAAAACAGGCCGTTTTCGAAAGCGCACACACCCAAACCTGCTTAAAGCAATTTTCTTGAAAGTTTGGATTTTTGTTCTTGAACTTTTGGTCCGCGACCGTCACTTTCATAGAAAATGCTACAACAAAAACGGCCCAAACTTCTATGCAGACAAGTACGTTTGACCCACAGACATCGCAGATATTACATGGTAATCATTACAGAATGTCGGAAAAGCTGTACAGAACTGTTTGCCGATTAGCTGTGTCCTTTTTCTTCTGTTAACTAGACAATTCTGATTTGAATGATGATAGAAATTTAAGAAAGTACTCGGTTTGTAACATTCCAGAACATATGTAATACAAAACTGCTGCCCTCTCTCAGAAATGTTTTCAGTTAGTGAATTCTGGGTTCACAATTTGAACAGTAATACCTGTGCACTGAACCATGTCTTCCCTAGATGACTTCACAGCAACAGTGCCCTCAATAGTCCAAAAGAACATGGATAATTTTGATTGTTTAAAAGTGTGCACTTTTCAATGCATTTAACCAAATAGGAGTGTGGAAGAGTTTTCAAACTTGAAGAAAAGTACCCAAAAAAATGCAGAAAAATTGTGTAGAAAACAATTCCTTGCAGCTACCCTTTAAGCGTCGCACCCATAGTCGGTAAAATCAGAGATAGCTGAGAGGGTAGGATTTTGACTGAGTCGGCTGCATTCCAACATTACGTTTTATCCGCGTTCACTCTTTATTGGCACAATCGCACTCTTGAGTATCGGGTCGATGTTTTCCCGGTTTATGGTAGGACTGATTCCATGACGGATTCATGCATCTATCCCCTTGATCATTTGCAGCACGCACAAACTTTTCTGATTGTCTGAAAGGTATTTTGCGCTTGTTGGGGACATCAGCGATACCTCCTGATGAAATGTTTGAGTACATCTGTGTACAAGTTTAGGCCTCGTCTGCTACGCTCTCAGCGTCTTTTGCGTCGGTATATGATAACTATATAAGGAGGGACCGGACTTTTGGGCGACAATTTCATGGATTCAGGTATTTTACTCTCCGCAATAGCGAGTTTAAATTGTGGCCGGATCCTATAACACGCTTCTTAAAGCCACATTTTTAGACAGTTTGTTTTAGTTTGCATCAGAGAGAGAGAGAGAGTAAATCAAGGTTTATTTGTGATATTTTACTCGGTTTTTCACTTTGATAGAAACTGAGATTAATTTTACGGGTGAACATGTTGAATATTTCTCATGAGTTGCACTTTGCAATGTTCCTGTTAAGGCCATTAAACTCTAAGTGTTTCTGGTGACTTGAGACCCTTTTAGTTAAGTTCGATTAAAGTTTTTTTCATCAAACCTTGGTCTGAAGTTTCTTTGATGATTCTTCATCTTGCGATTGCTTCAGTTTGCGCCGAATGACATCGACCTGGAGGAAGTCAAAAGAAATAAACCGTTTAGCAGTGGTGAACAATTTTCTGATCCCTGGCAAGTAATGCGTAGCGCTGGAGCAAAAAATCCTGCTGTATAAAGGGAGCTTTTCGGAAAGCAAGAACCTTATGACCAAAATCAACTCATGGCAGAGCAAAAAAAAATTAAGGTGGAGACTATTAACTTATTGACAGTCTTTCTCTAGAGCATTCTTTAACTAGGCAATTGTTAATTCAAGTGATATTTATGGAAGGCAACATAAACGCAGATTATGACATGAATTTCAACGTGTATAGGAGATCCACGTTTCAGCATTAGTTTATTTCATAATTAGTGTAATTATTATACATGTAACAAATTGTATCGGTTGACGGCGCGTCTGGTTAGGACCTGACATTGTCCATAAATTATGCTTCGATTTGTTTATGCACGTTGCTCTGCACATTTCTCCAGATACATGAAATGAATGCGTTCTTAAATCGTTTTCAACTTAATCGAAGGGACACTTTCGCTGACATCTAATTTGACAAACCAGTTGTACCAGTGACACAGGCTTTGTCAATAATTTAAACTATACAGAACGGGACAACTCAGTTATCGAACTTCTCAAGGGGATTAACATGTAACTAACATGTAAGTGGGGTGAGAACACGAATTTGTTCAAGGGGAATTTTAGCTAAACAAGTGACTATATACTTTCGTGATGACGGAGGCGGTTAATTTCATGAGAGCTTTAAGTACGTGTGTCATCGTGACCTTCGAAACGGGAAGTGCAATCTTTGAACCAGAAACGAAGAGCGTTTTCTGATGCATTTTTTCACGGGCCAACGGATGTTAGTGTGCATTTGCAGGGATTTTCTGTTGACCGATTATAAAGCTCGGGAGACAAAAGACAGCATGACAACAGATGTTTCAAGGGTGGATTTTTCTGATGCGCTGTTGATGATCTTTTTTTTTCTAATTTGTGCCGTGGAGTTTTTTTATAAATATCAATGGTTGATAAGGAACATAATAGGATTTAGTTCCTCATGTTGCGCTGAATAAAAAAATAAGCGCTTGCCAAGGTCTTGCATGCAAACTTTGAAGAACAGAGGTTATGTACCCTATTTAATCTAATTAAACTTACAACAAGCAATACTGACAACACCAAAAAAATAATGAATACCGGTAAATAAAAATACAAAATACATGTGAAACGGTTCCTGTACGTCACACGGAGAATTGACTAACAAGTAGACACGCCACTTTGTTACCATTAAGGCTGGCTCGTACTCCAGGCTAACGCGAAAGTGACGCGAATTTGACATCAGAAAGCATTTACAACGGAGCCGTTAGAATTCGCAGCAAGAATATTTGATCTGACTGTCACAATTTTTGAGTTCAAGTTCGCTTTCGCACCAAGTATGAACCGGCCTTAACTGTGTGCAGGAAATTGCTAGACGACAGAAAGTGGTCTGGGTGCCAAACAACAAATTCAAAAGCGTGCCATCTTCAAAGAGGTGATAAAGATAAGAGTGCATTTCGGAAACCACAGCTTTCGCATATGGCTTAGCCACCCTCCGCTCAGAGGATCATTCGTACTTAACACAAGTATGACGTCACGAAAAGTTGGCAGCAAAATTCTCCTGAGATTAAGAAAATCATTCCAACTTTAGTAGCACGAATTTGTACAGGTTAAACATGACGTCGCAGATTGGCGTTTAAGTTTGTTTGATGTTGAGGCTCAACCTCAACTGTCTACTTAAAGCAAGGCTACAGACGCATTGAATCCTTCCAAAGCTTCAGAAACGCTGCTGTATCAAAATGGCTCTGCTACTGTGCTTTGATGAGATCGTCCCTTATGCGGACGGTAATGTTAACAATAGTGTTGTCTACACCGATATTCTACTTCGACGTATTAATTAACTGCCACTGTGATAAATTAAATTCATGTCCACAGAACGATTTGTTACATCTATAGTCTGGTAGTATATCAACTTCCTATCAAGGAAGACGTACTTATACCAGAAGACAATAGCGCGAGATAAAAAGTGAGAGAACATAGGAAAGTTTATGTGCAACTGTCAAAAAACATTCGGGCAAATTGGTGTTCATGTCACCATACCAAGAATGGACTCACACGAACTCTGATTGGCCCAACAACAGACCCTATTCAAGTGAAAGCCATTTCTGATCTGATCCCCTGAATCTGTCTCATGAAATGTGAACTGTCGATTAGCATGGCACCAGACTGTTTCATGATCGGCCTTTGCGTTCCAAGCCTCTCTTTCTATATTTGTCGAAGTCTGGCTTAAAACACTATCATTTTTGCATGTTTCATCACAAATTCGAAATTATTCATCAACGCAGAAAGGTACTCATTCGCCATTAAATTTCATTTTATTGCTTTAATTTCTCCCCTCAACTTTCCATAATAGGCTACAAATTAACCTCGCTTTCATTCTCCAAATGGCTGACCCATGAATAAAGTCTATAAGAGTTATCGCATAAAAGAAAACACCCAGCACTACCGCATATACCACAAACACAGTTCTACAAACGTAACATGCTATAAAATCAATCAAAACAGTGAGTTGTTACTTACTTCGCTCCTATGAAGCTGCATGCAAGCAAAAGGGGAAATACAGCAAAATAAATAAAGCTGTTCCTTGAAAATAACACACAACGATGAAAGCTAAAATTAACACGCCTTTCGTCCTGAACACATATTGAAATGTTTAAATACTAATCAAAATCCTTACAAGAGGAATGAGAAATATACGGTATATAATACTCTAATGATAAAAATCAACTTTAATCACCCTCGGGACAAAATTTTAATGAACTCTGAACTCATTTTAATGAACTTAAGAGAATTATGTCAGGCTCGGTGCATAGCAAATTCTTTGATGCCATGTATGGTATCATGGGGACTGTGTGCATGCGCATGAATGTGCACGTTTTGCGCATTTTGTGGCAACACGCAGAGAATCATTCTTTTTCCCTCGCACACTATGTCTTGGTCTCCGTAACTGTGAATAACGATTGTTTCTCTGCTGTTTGCGGCCTCCTTCAACTTAACAATGTTCTACTGTGCGTTAAAGAGTTTGAGAGTGATGTTTTCTTGTTGCTTTAGGTTTGGTTTTACTTGCTCGTTTTTTCTTCGTTTTTCCTTGCTTTAATTAAACAGACAGTGTCCCATTTGTAATTGTGTTTAAAGGGCATGGTGGCGGGGAATTTGTGGCTTCAGTCGGCTGATGGTATTCGCTCTTTACACGCTGCTGCCATGGGCATGCAGAGCCTCCAACTGGCAGCTTGTACAATCGCGTCAGAATCGCTGTGTCCAAACTTATGATACATGTCTAAGAACAAAAGCAACACGCGCAAAATCACATAAGCAACATGCACAGGAATCACTGAACCGGCTATGTTAATTGTGTAAAGTTGCCAGATCGAGGCTCTGCACGCCAATGGCTATGGCGGCAGAGCGCAATAGAGCGAATAGCAATGTTTACCAAGTCTTCTCGGGTCAATTGCAAGTCATCTTGTCTGAATCATGTCAGCGTGAAACGTGACAAAGAACTCCCCTGTTTTCAACTGTTACTTGTGATTTATTTGTGAATGACTAATGATCTACCCGGCAGCAACTCTGTTATCGAGCAAAAAGTCCCTACAATTCTGTTCCAGCAAGATATCCAGACCAACACAGCGAGCATCTAGCACTTCTGATCTACAGGGAATGCCTTAGCCGGCCTTGTCTCTTCTTGTGTCTCTGGTGAGTTCCTAGCCCGTGATATGTTTCCGGACTAGCTCCTTGAGTCATGTGCAAGAACAGAGGCGTGAATTGTGTCTATGACGGACTAATCCCGCCACTAAAGAGTTTCTGCAATGCATTTATGTACCCTTTGTATCTTAGTTGGTTAACATTATTTGGCTAATTTGCAATTTTTGTGTCAGTTGGTCAATTCACATTCACGAGAAAACTGGTGGTGTTATCCAGGGGAAAAAATCCATGTCACGTTGATTTGTGTAAAATGAAAGGTGCTGGCTTTTTCTGAAGATTTTACTGGCTAAACGTTGTTTTCATTGGTGAATCTATTTTGTAAATACATAGCAATAAGCAAGAAAGCAACCCTTTCATAGAAATGTTTTGGTGAGTAAATTCCGGGTTCACAATTTCAACATAAAAATTTGTACCGAGCAGTTTCTTCCCTACATGATATCATAACAACCGCGCCCTCAGTTGTCATGGAATGAACGAACACTTTTGAATGTTTTAAAAAGTGCCCTTTTCATTACGTTTAACCGAAAGGGATGTCAAACAATTTTCATACATTTGAAGAAGAGTCTAAAGCTGCATGCAGATAAATATGTCTACGAAAATTTCACAGGTGCTACCCTTTAATGTTTCCCCATTATTTGCACAAGAAATCAACGACCGTTTCATTAATTCGTTGGAAATTTTGACAGAGTTTCAGGAAGAATCAAACTCCAAGTCACACGTACGTACCATATAAGTCACATAGTGCCCCTTATTTTGCAGGTATATGCCGATAGTAAAAAAGAAGATTACTTCGTGTGTCAGTTCCCAAACTTGGCCTGAACAGAGTGCCATGTCTCTTTGTCTTTGCGATAATATGTGAATGTTTAATTACAAGAGCTAAGGATCTTCCATGTCGGCCACCAACAAGCACTGCAAATATTTCACAAGGGGGAAGTGTATTATATAAGCAATGCACAAGCGGGTTTAGTTGTTGTTATAAATAAAACCGGCATCAACGAAGACGACGCCACGGCGACGCCGACATTGACAACTAAATACGCAGATTACTGATTTTCGCATTTGAAGTTGGATAAAATAACCATCTCCAAATACGAAAATCGGTAATCTACTTCCGTGAAGGTTTTAAACACGACACATAACGCGTCACTTTCCTGGACAGAGATCCTCATATTTCAAGATTACTCCAGGTTATGTTGCACAGGTGCCATACCCAGCAGCTAAGGATGGGCCACATACGCGTAATGGTAGTAATTCTAGTCCAAAATGCAATCAAGTGCTGCGGTCGATGTAATATAGACACACAGACATTTCAATCATTATTGAAGTATGTGCTATCGTCGAAGGCTGGTCTGGAATACTCAGTTATCACTTGTAATCTGAACAGCATGTTATTAGCTGAACAGGAACACGGATATTGTCGAAGATCTGTATTTTTGCCGAGAGGTACAGGGCCAATGAGAAGCTTATAAATAGACCCGGGCCCAATTGCATAGAGTTCTAAGCAGCAAATGATACAATTCACCAAACGTATGCGCTAAGCAAAATCTGCTGGGAACAAGTAATAAGACATTATAAAATGCCGGACCTTTTTGCTGGTAACCTGCTTTTTGTTAAAGAGCACCTCTAAGGAAAACATGTTTCTCTGAATTTATCTGTTCAAATAAACAGGGAAGCCAAATCGAAGGCAGTGTCATTTGTCTTCAGAGCTCAACTATAACAAGCTAAAAAGGGCTTTTTTCTGTTCATGCCAAGGCGCGAATTCTGAAGTAGATTGCGTCATTCTGAGAAAACAAAGAAAATGAGGGGAACCCTCACCTTGTGTTCGTAGTGGATAATTCTCTTGTGCACGCCAAACAATGGCCAAGGGTTTATCCATTATGAACACAGGGCGAGGGTTCCCCTCGTTTTCTCTGAATGATGCAATCTACATTCAGCATGTTCAGAATTCGCATCTTGGCACGAACAGGAAAAAAAGCCCTTTTTAGCTTGTTATAGTTGAGCTCTGAAAACATACGACAGTGCGTTCGATTTGGATGTTTCCAATTTATCTGAACAGATAAAAATCAGACAAAACATGTTTTCCTTATAGAGTTGCTCTTTAGGCAAGCACATGTACTTTCTGTGGTTTAATAGCAAACTTCTTGGCAGTAGCAGCTCCTTGAAATCGGCTCCGAACTAGGCGCGACAGCTGCGAGGGCGAACACGAATTCCACGTGATGGCACGGTAAGTATTGGCACTGCTACGTCGTCAAAGATGAGCCAAATTTAACTCATTTTCGTGGCCAGCGTTTTGTGAAGTCAAATGCACTTTGCAACCGTTAGATGCACATATCAGCCTGTTTCGCAAGCTAGCCAGCGTACAATAACTTTTTCTGCAGATACATAGTAGGTTTTGGCACTGACATACGGTGAACACACAAACTGACGTGTCGACAAAAACCCCGTGTAAGACAAAGTCTCACCTCGTTTACTGGGATAAATATACCCGGCAAGATAT